TTCTGCTACATGTCTTTGCTAAAAAAAAAATCCCATTACATGTAAATTAATTGGTTTACATGAAATTTATAGCATCTACAAATGGCGGTGTATATACTGGAATTTAACAATAAAAAATGTTATACTAGTAATGGCAGTGACACTGTACTAATGACACTGGGCAGGAAGGGGTTAACATCTGGGACGATCAAAGGGTTAACTGTGTTCTGTGTGTGTTTTACTTGGGAAGCATACTGTTGTGTATTTGTCTGCTGTGCATAGAAATACACAGCAGCATGTAATTGCTGGCAGGAGAGAGACCTGTGTTGTTTACACACAGGTCTGTCCCTGTCAGGGATACTCAGCGATCACCGAGACCCAGTGATTGTCATCTGTAGCCACCAATGGTGCGCACCCCCTATCCGGAAATGCAAAATCACACACACACACACATATATATACGTGATTTTGCGCAGCCCTTCCGCACTGTAGCAGTATTTCTGCTATAGGGTGGTCAGGAAGTGGTTAAGTGCCAGCTGGGAGCATGCATAAATGGTTGGCTCCATGGTTCCTTCCTAAAAAGCAGACAGCAGGACCAAGCTCATTATGCATAAAAACAAGACAGTTTAAAAACAAATTGCAACAAAATAGCACTTGAAATAACTTAAAGTGTTACTAAACCCACAACAGTGAAATCAGTCTGTATATGCAGTAGAGCATGTTTGTTATACTCACTGTGGAACTTCAGGGGTGAATTATTATTATTATACAGGAGTTATATAGCACCAACAGTTTGCGCGGCACTTTACAAAATGAAGGTAGACATTACAGTTACAATACAACACCTCTGCATTGTGTATAAATGATGTTAGACCCTATCTTTTCTGATCCTCCCCATTCTTCTACTGTCCCCAATCTTTCTCCTGATAGAACTGAGCCTTGGAGGGCAAACTGCACATGCTCAGTTTGGTGTGTATTGCTAGAGAGTTTTTTTTACTTGGGAGAGCGCATGTGATCAGCGCAGGGCCAATCAGCACTGTCCAGACAGCCGGTCAGGGATCCTGCAGTCTCATAGGACAATAAGAAGAGAATGAAATCTCCTACAAGCTTTAATCAGGGCTATTCTGGACACTGATAGAAGTCACAAAACTGCTATATACTGCTGAAAATAAAACAGATTTAGCAGTTTATATTTACTAAAATAACTTAATTTCTATGTTCTGTGGAAGACCCAATATAGTGAATGCAGGGTCCTGGGTTTAGTAACACTTTAAAATGGAACTTTATTCATAACGACTTGATAAAAAATATTGTTCTTTAGCGAGGAACTTACGTTCCACATTAGTAATTATGCTACCAAAATTAGTGTGTGCTGTAAATTGCCTCTAGCAGTGTTCCTGTTTCTTCTTGCTGAAGGCTGCCATTTTGTTGAAGCCCAGACCCCTTGAGCAGTATTAAATCTTTAGGCTGCAAGCAGATCGGCCTCTACATTTTAGGCACAGTGCTGAAAAAATAGACAGCTTACTGAGCATGTGCAGAGCAGGATAAGACAGTGTATTAGTGGATTCTAAACAGTGTAGGCACTTATTTGTAATGTTTTACAGCTATACCTGCAAAAGGGGCCAGCCTGAAGTGATCTAGCAGGACTTAATTTTCTGACTAAAGTTCCAATTATAGCTTTAACACATTAACCCGAAAGTGCTCAGAGCTGCAGTTACTAAAATGAGTGCTATAAGACTGCATACTACCAGAGAAAGTGCTATGAGAGCAGTACTTACTGTATCTGAGAGTGCTGGATCTATAAGAGAGAGTGCTGTGAGAGAAGTGCTTTACCTGAGAGTGCTGAATTTACGAGAGAAAGTTCTATGAGAGTAGTACTTGTCTGAGAATGCTGTGTCTATAAGAGAGAATGCTATGAGAGCAGTTCTTTACCTGAAAGTGCTGAATGTATTAGAGAAAGTGCTATGAGAGCAGTACTTATCTGAGAATGCTGTATCTACAAGAGAGAATGCTATGAGAGCGGTACTTATCTGAGAATGCTGTATCTGAGAATGCTATGAGAGTGTACTTATCTGAGAATGCTGTGTCTATAAGAGAGAATGCTATGAGAGCAGTTCTTTACCTGAGAGTGCTGAATTTATTGGAGAAAGTGCTATGAGAGCAGTAGTTATCTGAGAATGCTGTGTCTACAAGAGAGATGAGAGCGGTACTTATCTGAGAATGCTGTGTCTATAAGAGAGATGCTATGAGAGCTTTACCTTGAGAGTGCTGAATTTACTAGAGAAAGTGCTATGAGAGCAGTACTTATCTGAGAATGCTGTGTCTACAAGAGAGAGTGCTATGAGAGAAATACTTTACTTGAGAGTGCTGAATTTACTAGAGAAAGTTCTATGAGAGTAGTACTTATCTGAGAATGCTATGTCTACAACAGAGAGTGCTGTGAGAGAAGTGCTTTACCTGAGAGTGCTGAATTTATTAGAGTAAGTTCTATGAGAGTAGTACTTATCTGAGAATGCTATGTCTACAAGAGAGAGTGCTATGAGAGCGGTACTTATCTGAGAATGCTGTGTCTATAAGAGAGAATGCTATGAGAGCAGTTCTTTACCTGAGAGTGCTGAATTTATTGGAGAAAGTGCTATGAGAGCAGTAGTTATCTGCGAGTGCTGCGTCTACAAGAGAGAGTGCTATGAGATCAGTGATTTGCCCAAGAGTGCTGAATTTACTAGAGAAAGTGCTATGAGAGCGGTACTTATCTGCTAGTGCTGCGTCTACAGGAGAGAATGCTGAATTTACTAGAGAAAGTGCCATGCGAAGATTACTTATCTGAGTGTACTGCGTCTACAAGACAGAGTGCTATGAGAGCTGGCTTTACCGAAGAGCACTGAATTTACTAGAGAAAGTGCTGTGGGAGCGGTACTTATCTGCGAGTGCTGTATCTACGAGAGAGTGCTATGAGAGCAGTGCTTTACCCAAGAGTTCTGAATTTACTAGAGAAAGTGCTATAAGAGCAATACTTATCTGCGAGCAGGGGTGGACTGACCATTTGGAAACTCGGCCACTGCCTGAGGGACCGGGTCAGTAGGGGGCCCCATGAGATGCCCCTGGTACCTTTTTCATAGGCTTTTTTGAGTTTGGGCAAGGACACAGGGGCTCCATGATCCCCTATTGCCCGGAGGCCCCATGAGTTGTCAGTCCGCCCCTGTCTGCGAGTGTTGCATCTACAAGAGAGAGTGCTATGAGAGCACTGCTTTGCCTGAGAATGCTGAATTTACTAGAGAAAGTGCTATGAGAGCGGTACTTATCTGTGAGTGTTGCATCTGCAAGAGAGAATTCTATGAAAGCAGTGCCTTACCCAAGAGAGCTGAATCTACTGGAGAGAGTGCTATAAAAGCAGTGCTTTACCATGAAAGTGGTGCAGCTACTAGAGAAAGTGCTATAACAGCAGTGCTTTACCCAAGAGTGCTGTAATTATAACTACTGCTTTTTATCTGAGAATAATATGAATGCACTGAGGCTCAGCTCACATTACTGCGACCTGAAAGTCGCACAACTTGCAGTGTAACTTTGCCAGGCGACTTCCTGATGATTTGTTGGCTACTTGATGTGACCTGAGAATGGCTTTAATGCAACTTGATGTGCGACTTTCATGCCATGCAGCTTTGCTTGGGTAATCTTCCTGTAATGTTGGATCCAAGTCACATCAATACAGAGGAGGATACGACTTGGAGGTGACTTCTATTAAAGTCTATGGGCACAAATCGGATAGAAGTTGTCTTGAAGCAGTACAGGAACCTTTTCTAAAGTTGGAGCAACTTCAGTAGTGCTAATTAAGACAGCACTCATAGACTAGAAATCGATTTCACATGACATGTGACTTGGGGTCTCACAAGTCAGATCCCAAGTTGCGGCAGTGTGAATCGAGCCTGAGTTAGCAAGGCAATTGCTATGTTGCCTCAGAAAATACCTTTTTTCTAGCGACGTGCTTTAACGACAAATGGTGCCAGGTAAAACCCAGTAACATTATATTAAAAGATACATCTTTTTGTTATTCTAAACAGGTTAATTTATTTCCAATTATGGCTCTTTTACCTTGGTGTAATGATTATTATGGACACACAACTACTATCACATGTCTGTGTCTCAGCTCAGAAATTGCACATATGGAAGCCTTTAGTAAGCTGTAATCCTGAGCTAGCTATATAATTACTCTGTAGAGGTCACTAGTTCTTTGACTGTAAACTGCCTGTATACCACTTTATAATGGCTGAAAAATAGGCTGCTAATAATCAAGATAAAATGTTTCAGGGCCAGCCTGTTTTATGACCCTGACAATATTCGCAAATTGGTTTACTGCTCAGTGTGACTCCAGGAGACTTGGTACTGATGATTTTGAGATGGATTGCACCCATAAAAGAAAAATGATGGTCAGATAGCTAAGAACATCTTGTAGACAAGCTCTGCAAGTCATTAGCAGAGTGTGTGGACTAAGGAAATGTTATCTTATGCGTTTGGTGATGTACCTTAAAAGCTGGGAAGTTTCTCCCCAAAAAAATTTCTGATTGGAGGTCTTCTTTTTCTGAAGACAAAGAAGCAGCTATAAGATGAATAGCTTTTATGTGACTTTGGCTCTTTGCCAAGTCAGTGAATTTCTTTTAACAGAAAGAATGAACTAGCAGATTTATGAGCAATCATTTTGAGAAGTGGGCAACCGCTGACAATAGACTTAGAAATTAACTACTTTATGTTCGGTCAGGGTATAAAAATAAAAAAAAAACAAACACTTATAATTAGCATCCAGTTGAGTTAATTTGAATGCAGAAAGTTTGGCTGCTATGGGCAACTAACTACAAAGCCTGTGTTTATCGCTGATATAATTACATGATACCTATGCAACCTGCGTATTGTAATCAAAATTGCTTGTATGTTGCCATGCAATCTACAATGTGCACCGTTTTCCTGTAAATGTTTTATTTGTCAAAAATCAAATAAAAATTTTAATAATGCAATTTTGTTCCCCCCAATTAAAGATCACTATATCCAGATCTTAGTTTGTGAGCATGAATGCATAAGAGAACTATCCACACGTCCAGGACGCCTATCACCTATTGAGAACTTCCTTCCCTTACATTATGACTTCCTGCAATTCAGCTACTACAGAGGTAATATTGTTATATTTCAATTCCTCTTTTGGTGTCTTTTTACAAGTTTTAGGTAATTTTTTAATTATGCACTAAATAATTTAAATATACAGTATGTAAAGCCAAACTTTCTTTTTAATGCTGGATAGAATGGGACATTGTACAATCCCTCTCGTTTTTAATGTCACCTGTGTCCCAGATGGGGGAGAGGGAATTCACTCTATTTGACCTGGTGACTACTGTTTAGACAACCTGATTGGCTTTTATAGGCACAAAAATTTTATTTTAATACATAAAACCCTTTGTTTCTAGCAGTATGAACTTGTTTATTTCTAAACTAGATCCAACCAACTGCAATCTCCATCTTGTTCAATGACAAGCAATGGACCTTATTGACAGCAAAAGTATCCTCTCTAGACAAGGGGCTAATCTCTGAAAATTGTCAAACTCATTGTAACAAAGTGAAACTAGTTTCAGAGTGGGGCATACAGAAAGTTATTCTAGCTTGCAGAAGGAATAACAGACATCTTGTAGTGCCTATTCCTAAAGAGACCTTTTACTTGCATTGAATGTATTTTATGCATGCTATTTATCTGTAGAAGCCCCCTTGTGTAGACATCCAAAAACCCTGAAACTGCTGCTGCTGGGCGTCCCCACCTTTGATGTGATGTCAGCAGCCCCACTAAATTTTGAGCTTCCACTCAAGTGACGCTTTAGTATTCCTCTTTACCTACATAAAAGGTAGTCAGCTGAGGAAAGAGTTGGAGTAGCTGGGCCAGCTCAGAGAGTAATTACACACTCCCGGAAGAAAAGAAGGCTATGACATGCAAGGAAGGAGAGGACTGCTAGGGAATAATTTCCTAATGGTGTAGTCAAATTTTCTACTAAAAATTTACACGCATATAGCAAGTGACTAGAAACACATTTATGGGAATAAAAAACACTGCAGGTAAATACATTAAAAAGTAGGAAACGGTTGATAGTTTTAGGCTACATTCAGATGATAGAATAGCAGTGGATAGTCTACTACCAACTGTCTGATTAGCTGGGTCCAGTTTGTTTCCGTCAAAAACTCTGCAAACCTTGGATGCACACTGTCTGCAACCGGGGTCAATTAGAGGCCCTATTCTCATATATCTGCTCAGATGAGCAGTTAGAAGCAAATAGCAGCAGCACAGGCCACTGTTTTGAATAAAGTACTCCTAATGATTCTTGCCAGTGGCCACCCCTGGCCGCTGCTCTGTGGTTGTCTGAATGTAGCCCTACTTTAAAAAAAAATTCTGACAACTCTGTTTTCAAAGTCATAGGAAAGGGTTAGAATCTCTATTAGGCTTTAATTACTAAAACAGATGTTCCCCTTTGGGATATTTTTTCCCACCTTTTCTTACAGTAGTAACTGTCAGTAGTGGGTTTCCCCCTCAATTTCTGTTGTCAGCAGGGCACATCTCTCCAAGAAGAAGCTGGAAACAATAAAAGGTCGATACCCTCCTCACTCTATCAAAAACAAACATTTTTAATGTATTTATTATATTGGTCATTAAATGATTCATGCACGTTTCTTTCTATTTGGCTGTATTGATTCTTCTGGATTTTTCCATTTAGTTGGAGATCACTTGAAAGCCTTGGAATGCGCCAGGTCTTATCTGCTCTTCCATCCTGAAGATAAAGATGTGTTGGAAAATGTCAGCTTTTATGAGAGTCTTTTGCAAGATTATTTGGATCCAGCTGATGTCAAGCCCAGGAAGGTTAGCAGGAGCATCCATATGTAAAACTTCCTGAAATTTAAGTGAACAAATAAAAAGATAGTAAAGGAGAAGATCCTTTAAAGTGCCTAAAAACTCATAAATATACAAGATTTAACATGTTCATCTAATTTCAAAAGTCCTTATGAATCTTTTTTCACATCTTCAGCTTTCAGTAATATAATGCTGGTGATCCTACCGTGAAGGTCCTTTTTCTGGTACTTCGTGTTAGATTGGTGACAACCTACTGGTTGTGCTATTGCATTGTTTCCCTATTGCATGGCGCCACTGCTGGAGACTACAAGGGGTTGTGCCAGCACACATTGCACGGGCATGGTCCTCTATTGTCTTTACTAGAAAGCTGGTCCAGAGTAATGATATGTACCTGCTTCTGGTGTATGTACATGTAGATTGGGCAGAAAAAGATAAATAGCACTTGGATGAAGCAAAGGAAAAAAAAAGGTGAAAACAGTATTTTGCGAAATATAAAAAATAGCACTTGTTTATGATACTTGGTGCTGAAAGGATACGTTCACCTTTTGACAAAAAATAATAAATGCACATTTTTTTGCAGGAAAAAAAATGTGCATTTAGTATTTTTGGTTGCAGGAGCCTGTAAAGCATTGCACCAGTGATCAGTGTATTGCTGGTGCCATGCACATCTGTCAGTATGTCTGCTTGTCCCTATGGGATGTACAGGGAAGCAGATATACTGACAGAAGAATCAATGAACTACCACGGAGCTCCACAGCGCCATGGTAGTTCATTGGGAACTGCAAGCCAACAGCCGCTAAGGTTGTCGGGACTTGTAGTTCATTCATTCACAGAACTCTGTGACTGATTTTCTGCCGATTTAAAAAAATGACAGCTAGTACAGGGACCTTCTCCGCATACTGCTATCACAGGGAAGGGGATCGGGCAGCGGTTGCAGCATTGGGAACATGTTACAGGTGGAACATGTAGCATGTTCCCAAAGGTGAACTTATCCTTTAAGCAAGCTAAATGTGGTCCAGTAAAAGTTTACAGCTACTGTACAGTGTATCTAAACCCCAAAAAGACTAAAAGGTTTATTATATATATATATATATATATATATATATATATATATATATATATAAATACAGTGGAACCTCAACCTACGAGCGAACTAACGTGCGAGTTTTCCGAGATACGAGCAGTCGCTCGGACGATTTTTTGCTTCAGCACGCGAGCAGAATTTTAAGATACGAGCTCGAGGCGCACGCAGCTCTAAGTGTATATTTTCGAGGCGCGCGCAGCTCAGAGGGTACGAGTCACAGCATCCCATCTCCGGGCCTTTCTCTCTCTCTCACTGTCTACACGTGATTGAAATCCCAACTTCTAACTTTGTTGTAACCATGGCACCAAAGAAAGCAAGTGGTAGTGCGAGTACCGAGAAGAGGAGGATGATGTCCCTCGAAATAAAGCTTGAAATCATCAAGAAGCATGAGCAAGGCATGCGAGTAAAGGAACTGGCCAAGCACTACGACCGTACAACGTCAACGATCTGCACCATCTTAAAGCAGAAGGAGTCCCTAAAGAAAATTAAGCCAGCCAAAGGTATCAAGATTATTTCAAAGCGCCGTACAGATGTGCATGAGAAGATGGAGAATCTGCTGTTGGTGTGGCTGACGGAAAAAAAAACAACTTGCCGGAGATACCGTCACCGAGGGAATAATCTGCGAGAAGGCGCACAGTATTTTTTCAGATTTACAACAGCAAACCCCAGGCACTTCAACGGAGGAGGAATCCTTTAAAGCCAGTCGGGGCTGGTTTGATAATTTTAAGAAAAGGACGGGGATTCACTCCGTTGTTAGGCATGGTGAGGCAGCAAGTGCTGATGTAAAGGCAGCAGAGGAGTTCGTGAAAACTTTCGCAGAATTCGTTGAGGAAGAAGGATACATCCCCCAGCAAATCTTCAACTGTGACGAGACAGGGCTGTTCTGGAAGAAGATGCCGAGGAGAACATACATCACCGAAGAGGAGAAGAGGATGCCAGGACACAAACCTATGAAGGATAGGTTGACCCTCGCTCTGTGTGCCAATGCGAGTGGCGACTGCAAAATAAAGCCGCTACTCGTATACCATTCGGAGAACCCCAGAGCCTTTAAAGCGCACAAGATATAATAAAGGAGAAACTCCATGTTATGTGGAGGGCAAACCCTAAGGCGTGGGTCACCAGGCAGTTCTTTATCGACTGGGTAAACCTTGTGTTTGGTCCTTCGGTGAAGAAATATTTGAAGAACAACAACCTGCCCCTGCGAGCCCTTCTCGTCCTAGACAATGCTCCTGCACATCCACCACAGATCGAGGAAGAAATACTCGACGAGTATAATTTTGTGAAGGTTCTCTACCTTCCTCCAAACACCACCCCTATCCTCCAGCCAATGGACCAACAGGTAATATCAAATTTCAAGAAACTCTACACCAAGCACCTGTTTCGCCGTTGCTTTGAGGTGACGGAGAACACAAACCTCACCCTTCGAGAGTTTTGGAAGGAGCATTTTAACATAGCAATAGGCCTCAAAATCATCGATATTGCCTGGCAGGGGGTTACGAAAAGGACCTTGACCTCTGCTTGGAAGAAGCTGTGGCCTGAAAATGTGGCTGAAAGAGATTTTGAAGGGTTTGAGATTGAGGAAGAAGAGGAGCCAGTGGAGGAAGAGATCGTGTCCATTGGCAAGACTATAGGTCTGGAGGTGGATGAAAGAGACATCGAGGAACTCGTTGAGGAGCACTCCGAGGAACTTACGACTGACGAGTTAAAGGAGTTACAAGAGCAACGGCACACAGAAGCATTAACTGAAGCTACTTCGGAGGGAGAGGAGACAGAGCCGGAGACAATCAGTACAAAAGACCTCAAGGATATTTTGGCAATGTGGGAGAGGGTGGCAGGATTTGTTGAAAAGAACCATCCTGAAAAAATTGCAACGAGTCGTGCGACAGAGCTTTTCAATGACACGTGTCTACGTCGTTTCAGAAACATTCTCAAAGGGAGAATGAAACAGACTTCCTTAGATATGTTTCTTAAGAAAAGACCTTCAGCTCGAAGTGAGCAAAGTGTGGCAAAAAGGCCAAGAACTAGTGAAAGTGAAGAGAGTGATGAGAATTAAGCGAAAACAAAAATCATCTCCAAGGTAAGTAAATTGTATACAACCTTATTATATCTTCATATTTCTTTCTATTTTGTTTTTATATAATATTAGTTATGTAAAAAAGCTTTTTTCCTTATGAAATAACAAGAAAAATGACAAATATGAGGTGCCATTTTGAGGGTTGGAACGGATTACGGCCGTTTCCATTATTTCTTATGGGGAAAATTGATTTAACGAGCGAGCATTTTGAGTTACGAGCTCGGCCACGGAACGAATTAAACTCGTAAGTTGAGGTTCCACTGTATATATATCACCAGTCTGTAGATTAGCTGGCTTCATTGTTTTATTTTTTTCCTTTTTTTGGCTTATTTTTTCTAATTTATAATTGGTAATACTGCAAAATAAAACCCTCCTTCTCCCTGGTTGGCTATGTCCACTGTATCTACAAAATGAGCTGTATCCACTTTATCTACCTTCACTAAGGTGTACTGCAGACATGTCTGCATTTGTTCATCCCTTTTACATGGGGTATGAGGAGATGACAGAAGGCAAATAAGATTGTGTCATGCTTCCAGTTTATCTCACAAGAAGTGCAAAGGAAACTGCATTTCTAGCAAGATCAACAGGTATTTTTTGTATTTGCTGAAAACGGTTTTAACCTGAAAAGGAAAACAAATGCAGTCTCCACACATTTAAGTAAGCTGCAAAATGTAACATTTTTATTCTTGGGTTTAGCTATCATTTAACTGTGCATAAGCAGAAGTTGCAGTAATCAGGTTCAGCGGTTTCAAATATGATGCAGGATTTTTCTTTGATGCTGTTGTGCATGGTCAACCCTATGTATCTTGCTGTTTTTAAGATTCCCAGTAAGAGTTACCTGTTAAAGCAGAACTATACGGAATCTGAGCAGCACAAACCAAATCTGCTATTTACCTCATTTTCCATTTTCAAAATAAACGCCCCCATCCATCCATATCTCCATGCTTTATTTTGCTGAGAAATCACTTTGAAAAACACCCCCTAGCATTTCTCTGGCCGTGGTCATCTTGAGTAAGGGCAGATGATTCATGTAGCACTTACTTCCTGGAATCCATCCGCCCTTAGCTCAGGTACGCAGACAGGGAGGTATGTTTAGCTAAGAAAACCCCTCCTCCCCCCCCTGAAGACTGCTGGGATGCATTACATCATTTGCCTAGGCATGGAAACCAGGAAGTAACTGAAAAAGAAAAAAAAAAAGTAAAACACGTAAATATTATATTCTTTCCTATCTACTAATGCTAGCGGCTTAAGGATTAAAAATAGTCAATGTTGACTGACAGGAGAGCAAGTCTGGAGGAGTTCTGTTAGCAGGAATTCTTGGATATACTGTATCTGCAGTGGAATTCCTACTAGCAAACAGATGCACCTGCCATATTGTTACAGACGTAGATGCTTTGCAAGTAAACATGCACATTTAAATATGCTTTGTATACAGTAGGAAAGAAACATCAAAAGACATGGTCTTATACATAATTTAAATTTTCAAACCACCAGAATGTCAGTTTTTGGTAAATGCTGAAATGATCCATCTGCTGGCAGATCCAAGATATATACAGTAAGAAGCCAGTGGCTGACAATACCCACAATGCTCTATCTCTTACTAAAATACTGATGGTCCATAAAAAACATTTTTTGCTGTGATACCTTGTGACTGGCCATATACTTTGTTGCATTTACTAATACCCTATGATGACAAGGGTCATAGCGGGAAATAGTATAACCAATGTATTTTAAAGTGGTCAGTGCCAAAGATGTTATAAACACCTTCAGATCCTGAAATGCTGACGCTGGACAGCAAACACAGCAAAAAAAGGCACTTTAAAAGAATACACAAACACAATTACTTTAGGATCACTATATATAAAAAAACCAAAACACAGGCCCATTATATAGTAATCTTGAGAAGATTGTGCATGTGTGTTTTGTTAAGTTCAAGTCACTGGTTTGAATGTTTTTTTTTTTTTTTTTTGTTTTTTTACGTCAATGGAAAGTAATGTACATGTAGGCATCAATATATTTAGTTATAAAAGGAAGTTTCCTGTTAATAGACATATGTTGTTTTTTTCCAGGACGCTGAAGAATTTGTAAGACGTCACAGACTGGAATCAGAAATCATACACATTGCAGCTGAAGGACTCGGGTTTTCATATAATGAGCCAGTAAGTGCTGAGAGATCAAAGAGTCCGTGTTTAGCAATATAGCACTTCAGCTATTATTTTTCTTTATTATTCTTACTACTTTATCTAGAACAAGCTGTTATAAAAGACTGTAAGAAAAAGAAATTGAACAAGTATTAATGATACTTTCCAGGCAAAGTTCAATTCACCAGTTGTTCTGAACTGAATTACCTCAGCCAAGGAAAACTATGCAATTCATGAATGCCGATCATTGGGATTTATGAATTGTACATATCTGCTTTAAGTGGCCTTTTTTATACTTTTCTCTCATGTAATATAAATAGTTTGGCTGTATATTTAAAGCAAAATCATGTTTTCTAGAACAGGAATAGATAGAAAATCGACCAGTGGTGATGCTTGCTTTGGTTGTGATGCCAGTGTACACTGGCATCAGCCTTTGAAGAGAAGTCCACTACTAATCACTTTTTAGAAGGCATTTGACAAATGGTGCTTGTTTCAACCCCCAAAACCCTACACCACCAGGCTGCAACCATGTGCATTGCATGTGATTGCAGAAAGATTGCAGCGCAGCTCTATTCCATTGGGGACAATCTTTGCTGTGGTGTGTAACTAGCATACACCCCCATTTGCTGCTTATGCAGCTTAAGAGGGAGCAATTAGGGGGTTTTAGAAATGCAATTCAACTCTGTGTTTTTACCACCCTCCAACCGCAAGTGTAATAGGTGCCTAAGAGAAAATTTCCCTCACTTTAGAGAGATCTTCTGTTGTGTCTACAGGTCAGGAAGTGGTGGGAAATTACCCCAATGGTAAAATTGCTGTCAAAAATAAAACCTTATAGAGGTTGTAACCATTTCCTACTCTATCCAAAAAAATGTAAAAAGTTATGGCTGTAGATAATGTTTGTTGTGAAATGCAACATTTTCAAATTAAATCAGTTTGATTATATAAATTAGTGGTGGTCAACTTACTTGATATGGGGGGCCTCAAGTGCGCCTCCTGACATTGAGATGCACATAAAATTCTGTGAATATTTATTATCAGAGGCAGCAGAGACACTACAGGATATAGTCAAAGACTCCGTGCATAGTAAAAGAGTTGGTCAGAGACTGCAGACAGGATACAACAGATGGTCAGAGAATTAGAGATGATATAAGAGACTGTCAGAGGCTGTGAACATGCTATAGAGTTGTTGGAGACTGGGGACATGGTTCAGGAGTCTTAGACTGAAAACATATTATATGAGGCTGTTTAAAATCAGGGAAATTGGGAAACAAAGATTAGTGTCTGCAGGGGCTTCAAGCGACACACAAAAAGTGCTTAAGGGCCACATGTGGTACCTAGGCTTAGTGGCGTCACTAGGGGTGGTGTCACTGGTGCTCTAAAACATAGTTTCAACCCCCCCCCCATTAATAGTTTTGGGCCAGCAGCGTACAGTCACAGTGTGCAGCCCACCCCAGCACCCAGCTAGATCTGACCTTGGTACTAGGGTTGTCACCTTTTCTTCAAGCCAATCCTGAACACTTTCGCTACGCACGCCATGGCAAACAGTGGGTGTGAGCAAATTGCTTTACCAGTGGGAGACGCTTATATGGCATGGTTAAACATAAACATTCTTGTCTTGTACCCATAAAATGTGCATAGATTGCTGTGCAACATATAGGAATCTCACAGACATCTATAGACCTCAGCACAATCATTTTTTTTAAATGGCTGGGTGAAGCCGCTGACCCTGTTGACTATGACAGGTCACCGGTAGCCACAGCTATTTGGGGCTCTCTGCACAGCCAGCGATTACCTGCAGTGATCACTGTTAGACGCACAAAAACTGTGTCCAGCAACGATCACCTGCAGGTAATCACTGGCTGTGTAGAGTGAATGTCATAGTGAACAGGGCTGGCGGCTGCACCTAGCCACTCCTGCCATTACAATTTGCTCCAGCCCTAATAAATAGTGTTACTGTAGCTTAAATGTGAAAAGAGTCATTCCCTGTGCCATAACACTAGAAGACCAGCCCTGTGATAATATGTCAGGCAGCTCTCTCTCTACACTGCTTACACATATAAAATTACAACTGCTTCCAGGCACAGCTGACCCCCTTCATCCCCCCACCAGTCTCTCCCGTAACCCCCTGAGAACCCAAGCTAACTTAGTGGGTTTAGCCGCCTTCCTATGTCACCCATCCAATATAGCCATGGCCTGGCTGCAGATGTGAGCCCCACACAGTGTCAGCCAGCGGCCGGCTTGCTCCTCTAACTCACCATGTGGATGCCCTACCTACCAGTAAGTAGCGCTCTGATGGACTATCTGTGATCTTGAGTATATGCAATGATGCAGCAGGCTGTGGCAGGAATGAGGAGAGCAGGGCCAGCATATGCAGCAAGTCTGGCCAGGGGATCAAACAGAGCTATAACTGAGGAGGAGGAGAGGTGGCTGGCGGTTCTCGCACACAGACTGGAACATGGCCCCCTTCACTGTTATTAGGTGTCTGTGTTATTGAGCACCATACTACTGCCTGTGAGGACCTGCAGCCCTGAGCACCAGGTGTCACCCCTCTGGTGGGTGTCTCATGGGGGTCTACAGGGACTACAGGTTGGGCACCGAGGGTATAAATGTAGGAACTATTTTTTCAAGGATTATATATATATACAGTGGGGATCGAAAGTTTGGGCACCCCAGCTAAAAATTTGTATTAATGTGCATAAAGAAGCCAAGGAAAGATGGAAAAATCTCCAAAAGGCATCAAATTACAGATTAGACATTCTTATAATATGTCAACAAAAGTTAGATTTTATTTCCATCATTTACACTTTCAAAATAACAGAAAACAAAAAAATGGCGTCTGCAAAAGTTTGAGTCCAATATGGGGCTTTAGTTCTCAGACCGTTATCTGTCTCTTGCAGAAAATCATCTTCTGGCTGCAGTCTCTCTGACTCCTGTATGAAATGTCCTGTCTCTCTTGGGTGGTGCCCTGTGGTATTCCTAAACCTCCATTATAAGGGCTGTGCACACCCTGCTGTTCCTCCACTAAACACAGACACTGGGTTGGAGATACCGTCATGCCCAAGACACTATGGAATCTCCAAACTATGAAGCTCCATCCAAGAATACCAAAACCTGGAGAAAAGCAGTTTTCTCCACTCAACACAAATGCTCCTTGGTTCTGCACGCAGTAAAAGTGCAAAGCCTGTGTCCTTTTGCTGACCAATTCCACAGTGACAGAACCTTGTACTGTAACATTGCATATTTCAGAAATGTAACGCATTGTGTAATTAAACAGTGTTTCATTGTGAATTGAAACGTTTTTTTTCCAAAAATGCTGTGCAGTATACTACCACATACTCAGATGCGGTAATATAGCACTTAGTGAATGGAGCCCATTGTCCTGTAAAAATAGATTAAAGGATAATTTCACTTTTTGAACAAAAACATAATAAATGCCCATTTTTTTGCAGGTAAAAAAAATGTGCATTTACTATTTTGGAGTCTGGAAAGCTTTGCACCAGTGATCAGCAGTTTGATGGTGCCATGCAGGACTCCTGCAAACTGTCAGTGTATCTGTGTGCCCGTACATCCCATACAGGCAAGCAGATACAGTCTGATGGGAAGACTCCATGAACTACCACAGGGCTCAACAGCACTGACGCAGTTAATTGAGAACCACAAGCTGGGACTTGTAGTTCATTCATTCATAGAACACAGCATGGCCGCGCTGTTTTCAAAAAGTGACAGCTAGCACAGGGATCTTCTCCACATACTGCTGTCACACGGGGGGAGGGGGGGGGCAGCAGCTGTAGCAGTGGGAACATGTAACATGTTCCACCCTAAAAATGGGTGGAACATGTAACATGTTTCCAAAATTGAACTTATACTTTAAGAACAAAATTTCAATAGTACTCCTCACATTACACAAAACAACATAAAAATGATACGTCATACGAGCATTCATCATAAATGAATAAAATCTACATCAAATAGTTCTAAAACAATAGGAGCACCCTGCTATAATAAACAGTAACACAGGAAACACAGGTCCACTAGGCCAGTTAATTTGATTTCATTTCCACATTTATAGCTATTGGAAAAACACTTTCTCTAAATCTGTTTGTCCTCAGCTCTATATTTCTAAACAATCTACTGGATGGCAGTAATTTAAACAAGTTATGGCCAGGATGGGACAGATCTGCTATTTTTTCTGCTCTCTGCAGAGGCAATGTGACTGATAAATTTTATCTAGTAAGAGAAATTTACAGCCCACAATTTTCTGAGTGGTGTGGATTATTTTCTGGAGAGTTAGGGGTAACAAATTAAGATGCAGTACATCAGTGCACTCTCTTTAGATGAATGGTAGAAGGTCTCTAATGACTTCTTCTCTAATGGCATTTTACCTAAGTATTCTCAGGAAGTATAAACATTACTGAGATTTTTTTTAATACCAGCATTCACATTTGTTGACCATGTTAAATTTTCTGAAATATATATTCCTTGAACATTAAGCAGAAACCCATTACACAAATTCTTCTTGCGGTGCTAGCTGTTCTAAGCAACTGGTTCATTTGACATTCTTGTACAACTTGGATAACATAAAAAAAACTAATGTAGCGCCCTCTATGTAAATAGGATTTGTTGTTTTTTTAGTTAGAGGCATGTTAGAAGCCTGGGATGAGTCAGCCTGGGAGTTAGGTGGTGAGTTCACCTCATGACAGGCAGGGAGACTCTACAGGTCAGGGCTTCTGGAGCCCTTTCACCCTTCTAGAAATTGCTGGCACTTTCTGGAAGAGGGGAGGGGGAGTGGAGGAGATCCAGATTTGCATGTTTAGGGGAACTTGGCCAATCTCCAGGCAGGAGGCTGGGCATGGTGGCCAACAGCAACCTTTACATATGACAGAGCATGTGCAGCAGGGAAGTCAGGTGGAAGATGGAAGGAAGGTGATGGAGAGTGGAGCCTGGGAGGGGGCCCCATTGAGGGGAGCCTACCTACAGGCTGGTTGCTGGACATAAGGATCTACATGTGACCAAGTCTCCTAGGGAGGACTATATTGTTGGCAGGGAAGGAGCCAGCCCATCGTAAGGCCTGAAAGCTGCCCACCAAGCTAACAGGACAGGACAGTGTGAGCACTTCTACACCCCCTGGGCCAGAAAAGGGAGAGGGTGATCAGGGGCAAGACCCAACTAGTTCTTATCCAGCACTACTGAATTGGCAGATCTTGGAATCCCTTGCCAAGGGATATGTTCAGTTCAGCAGGGAGTGCTGTGTTTTTTTACTGGTCCACATTTATATACACTGTACAGTCTGCTAAGAAGTTTGTCCTCAAGTTTGCATTTTCTTGGGTGTTCCATATAGCCTTAGACCCCATCCAAGTTGTTAACCACTCAAAAACAAAACAAAAACAGCTCAAGGACTGAAGGACTGTTTCACTGTATACATACTTTATGTGAAGATGTGGGAAATGTGTGTTGCCTTGCTGTGGGGACCCAATCAAGAGGGGACCCAATCAAATTCAGCGGGTTCTGCGAGGGTAGCTCTACACTCATTATGCAGACTAGGGGGTCTATATATAAATGTTTTCATATAAGACTTACTCAGCTTTCACACAAGATTCATCCATTTTTTCTAATTGGATTCAACTGGTCAAAATGCATCAGTCCTGGGTGACCGTTGTGTGGAAGTTGTAAACATTTATAAATAGACCTCTATTTGTTCCATATTAACCTCTTGCCATCCATGCAGTGCATATATGTGGCAGTAAAGAGGTTGGAGTTTAACATCTGCATGGGTCCATGAGCAGCAGAGACTCATTGTGTGCTCTCAGCTTAGTGACTGAGCTGTCAAAGACAGATCCTGGTCTCTAGTAATGATTGGGAGACAGCGGGACCAGTTCCCAATCAAGTGACCACTGTGTAGCTGATCACAGTGATCATGTGATCAGACAGACCTTCCTGCCCTGAGCTTAAAATCCCAATCAAAGGGTTGCTAGGGCTGGGTGTGAATGGGCTATAATAAACTAGTCTGTTGTGTGAATTATTTTGTAGTGTTCCTAAAAAACAAACATTTACTTAATAGTCAGTATAGTGATTGATGGAAAACTCTGTAGAAACACCCTCTTATATTTTTCTTTCTCTGCCACTGTACTGTCCATGATGTCAAGGCGCTTGTAAATTGATCTACCATGCATCATTTAAAAACCACATTGTTCAATGCATATGAGTAGTCATATCCATCAAACAATAAACTCATAAAAAGTGTTCTGAAATGCCTTCATCCTTGAAGAACATAGGTAAGAAAGGAATCTCTAGACATCAGTGCACAATTTAGCTCAATAGTTAAAATAGAAAGTGTTTAGCAGAGCAGAACCTATGGTGACAAAACAGGCTTCCCCCACCTTTCTCAGAGCACTTCACAGCAAACGTAGGACAGATATTAATGCAGCATGAAAACCAAGACTTTCAGAAACAAATGCATAGTTATTGTTCCTACTTAGCTGTAATTTGTCTATCAGCAACATATTTATTATAAGAAATTATGTGACAAAAGACTTTTTCTTGCCTGTGTAAGCAGATAGGGGTGCCTATAGTTACCCATGGGTGATTATACACTGATTGCGAAGAAATTAAAAAAAATCACTGTTCTTCCACTAGCTGCAAATTTAAACCTGGGTAGATAATTCAAAGCTTTCTGATTGTAAAGGATAACATAGCAAAAATTATATATATAAAACTATTTTATAATGTATACATTAGAGAAACTGCAGAAATAAGGCTACATTAATTTAACTAAATCTATCTCCTTCCCTACCCCTTTTAATCCAGGCCAGCCATTTTTGACCTAGCAGTGCACAGTTACAGAGATCAGGAGCTGCCTTGCTCTTGTTTAAAGTGGTTGTAAAACTCAGACATGAAAAATGAACAAAGCATATCCTTCTCCAGTGTGTACCTGTCTCATTTCTGTCTGCTGTTTTGTTCCTCTGCTATCAGCATGAATCAAAACCCCCTGTTTTTGAACTCTCAGACAAGCTTTATAAATTCTGGACTTTAAACGGATGTAGAGAAGAGAAGGTACAGATAGACAGGTACAACTCTTGTTGGAGGTTTTGTTTCATCTTTGTGTATCACCTGAGGCTAGTCAATTCATTGGGCATATGCAAGCGTTTACAACCACTTTAACATAGAACTTCACCTTGCATGAGTGAGAGAAAAGAAAGGTGTGCAAATAAAAAGGAGGCGTTCAATACGGATAGGATCCTTGATGACAGCTCTCAAAGCACAGCAAAAGACAAAAAGTTATTTGTTCAAATTTCCTGCATTTATTCTTATATGTTGGGGTTTTTAAAAGGTTCAAATCAATCATAAACATCAGACTTCTATTGCATGTTATGAAACAATTGGAGGCTCCAAACGATTTAGCAAACTGACATGCAATGTCGGCATATGCATGCTGATATTGTAGAAATGTGTACGTATTGTATATGCATGCATTAGACACCATCGCCTGTCCAATGTCAGTGAAAATAAGTCCACAAAAGTCAACTATGGTTTTGTAAGCCATGACATGTTCATGATCAGCCTAAAGTAAAACTGTACTAAAACATTCAACTAAAACTATTTCAGAAGATGCTCATATACTATTCATTGCCACATTATTTGAAACTCAGTTGTCCTTGACAATGATTTCAAGCCAATTTGTCAAATTATATCTATTGTAATGTCTGCCAAGACAGTGCAAGAATAGCAGATACCTTGTGAAATATTTTGTAGCTTTACAAACAAAACAATATGGAAATGCTGTGTCGGTTACCCTCAAGAGATTTTTTCTCACACTCTGCTGGCTAAGTGGATAGTACCCTTGAATGGCAGCGTTAGGGTCATGGGTGTAAATTCTTGCTCAAGACCCTTTCTGCATAGGTTTCCTTTTGATGGTATGGTTTCTTCCCACAGTTCAAAAGCATATGATTATCCATTGTGGGCCAGAGCAATTTTTACTATTTTTTTTTCTGTTTTATGCAGTCTGGGTGGGCAGCAAATGAGGGGTTAGCAAGTATGCGGCCTGATATATTTTATACTAGAATGTAAGGAAAAGGGGCTTTGTTTTCAAGATTTTCATTTTCACAAAATGGTATAAAATTAATTTGGGTACCATGTTGCATGGTCAATTAATTGTCAGTCAAACTATCACAGCACTGAAAACTGAAAAGTGGCCAGACAGGAGGCGGTGTAACATGCCAGTTCCAAAGTGGTTAACATACATATGCGATGATAGGTTCTAATGTTTTACTATAAAATGTTTGCAGTTTTGGAACCAAACTATGCTATGAATAAAACATTTAATGAATTATGAAATGTCTCTTTACAGGACTTTTGGGTTACCAGTGGAGATAGGCAAGATGAAAACAGGTATGTCTAGTAGAACCTTTCTATCAAATGTGTAGACAGTAATGTGCACTTGAACACTAACACAGTTATAACAAAGGTCCAAAGGTCCTTTTGATGAGCCACAATTCTCTTATGAATACTAATATGAGCCAAACCTCCCAAAAATGAGCTGTAGAGTTTTGAACATTCTTTTATTGTTTGCATGTCTTCTTTATATTTTTAGTGATATATTTTAGTGTCACAATATCATTACTATTTACCCTTTATTTTGTGTTAATGGTGTTTTTTTTAGTTGCTCTGTATCATCCCTTTAACATAATTTTCTTCCTAAAGTACACCTTATAGCATATCTGTATACTTAAGCAGCCCTCAAAATGTACCATTTCAGAACTTTGAGAGCTCCTGGAGCCCTAAATCCTGTGGCTCTACAATGTTCAAATAAAAAATATTTTCAGCATAAACTTAAGGGCTAACTCATCCACTCAAACTCCCCTAAATCCTTGTTGTATGGTTAGAACAATACTGAATTGTGGAAAGAGGGTGAGCGAAAAGAACTTTACTATTAAAATGGCCTGGGATTTAGCATTCCTCAGTGTTTGTGAAGTTCAACAGAGGTACTACGCACTGGATGGCATCTGATTTTAATTTTTGATGTCAGTTTAGGTACCTAGATATGTCAACAGGTCTTCTTTTAACAAGTATCTTTACATTTAAATACAAAGAGGAGATCATGTTAAAGGGGGAAGGTGAGATGTATATTCGACTTTGTTCATTACAAGGCCTACTGCAATTAATTTAAAGGCTGATAGTTGAATTTTGGTCCCCAAGAACTAGGGACTTCCCTATAGACTTGTATGGGGCTAAAGATTCCCGTAATTGGATCACATCAGCAAGCAGTGGAGTGGAAGTAAAAGAACACAGAGGGGACTGTGGCTTGACACCCCATGTTCTCTTTGTACAGTAAAGTACATCTGCCCTACGAGCATAGAATAACATTTTCCTGATGCCACCCTTTAGTATTTGATCAGGGAACATTTGCAAGTCTACAGGCCTTTCCTGATTTTACCTGGTTGAGTTTGCTCAGGGAAATAATGAATCGGCTGAGATGGATTGTTCAGTCAAATTGCTATTGTTTTTGTTAGGGACAAGTGGCATCTGCATGGTTTACCCGATGGGAGCTTGCATTTCTGTTCAGTGGATGTTGATCAAAACAGTTGTTCGATAGCTGTTTACATGCACAGTTGGCTAGCATCTAATGTTTGTAAACTTGGCTGTTTTCTCTAGCTGGGATTTAATATACTGTAGGTAGTATTCATTATGGGATTTAATATACTGTAGGTAGTATTCATTATGGGATTTCATATACTGTAGGTAGTATTAATTAGCGAGGACACCAATCAGCCAGCAGAACCATTAGAACTATAATAAGGTGTTGTCAATTTAATTTTGCTATTATTCATTTTCAATGTTTATATACAATTACTGCAGAAACACATCCTTGCCTCAAGCCAGAAACCACTACTACAGGTAGTTTTATATCATTTTCTCCAAACCGTTATACCATATAGCCTATAGAGATTGCTTACATGCTAGGGTACTATGTATTTAAAATAATTGTATTTGTGTAAGGCTAATTAAGTCTATTTCCATACTTATGAATTATTACATCTTTTGATTAGGAATGTCCACACAACTAAAGCAGTTAATAGTGTAAATCTGTGAACCCTAATATTCAACACTCTACTTTTGATATCTAACAGGGTTCCATCTGGGAATGAGTTGATTGATGTCAAGGGGCTTCTATCAGGAAAAAAGGAAGTCCTAAAGATTGATAGAGAGCTCAGGGAAGGTATGTACAGGATAACATATACTACTTGAATGAGTGGTGAAATATCTTCAGCTATACAAAATAAATCAAACTGAATGCAACTGACAATTGCTAGCTGTGTTTCAGTCCTGTGATTCACATGCCCCTGCCACACCATTGTTTCTTGTTTCAGCTTTGGCGTCACCTGTCTGCTCACTAGAAAAGATTCAGCATCATCATTTGCTAATTCACTGTCCATTGGGCAGGCAGATGGCTATAGAAGTGAAATGGAAATAGTGGAGCTATTGCATTAGTTATGCAGTGTGCCAGAGGAGTGTAAATCAAAGTATTATATAAATGCTATGGTTGTCTTGTTAATGCAAACCCCCACTCTTTCCCCCAAGACTTTCCATGGTTGCAGCCCCCCCCCCCCCAAAAAAAAAAAAACCTGCTGCCTTTTTTTTTTTTTAAATATTGTGCCTGGCCTGCCATCTTCCTCTATTCTTGCCCAAGTGTAAATTATATGAGACAAATATTCTTCAGCAAAGAAGCCAAAGTGAAAAAGTAGTTACTTTGGCAACAAACGTTGCTTGAGAGACCTTGATATTTCTTATTGATAAAAAAAAAGTGGCAAAAAGTTTATAAAAAGTAATCAAACACACAACACCTTATACCAATATACATATTTTAACAACATATAAGTGTCAGACAAAGTATGGATGTCCATGTGTTGGCCAAAGGTTTGCTGCATCATCACCAATCTAAGCACCTCAGATCTTGCGTGTGGTGTATGCAGCAGTCAAAGGCCAACAAGGCTTTCAAAGGCAAACTGCCTGCATATTAGTCATAATTGTGCAAATTCAATTGGCACTCTTCCTAATAGGGCCAAATTAACCAAGCACTACGGAAGACCCTCAGCGTGGTTCACGCTTTAGGTTCTCTTATACCAAGTCCTCTTGACTTTAGATGATCATGTAGGGACTTAGCCAGTCAAAAGCTACTTGCCCGTGATCAAACACAACTTGCCTTTGGGTTAGTGATTGCTCAAGGGAAAGGTGATCGTTTACCAGATTGAAACTTCAGTTCTATCCGTGAGTTTCACCCTCACAATTTTCCTCTATATCCCACCCACTTGATGAAAAATATCCTGTTGATATTCAAAATAATTAGGACTAAAAATATGGGGGATCATCAAACAAGCAGTTCAAAGAACAGTATAAGGCCAGCAGGGTATTTGTGTCAAATGAAATGCAGCATCAACAATACATAGCAATACATAACAGTATATTCCAAATGTGCCACGGACAAAGACACTTTTGAAGCTTGGTTGCTGCCACCTCAACTTAACTATGGGTGATGGATAACACCAAACGGTATATAAGAACCCCAAACAGTAAGTGCATAATTACAGCCGTAGTTGAAGGGTAATGTTTTGATGGCCACACTGTCCTGTGTCACCCCTAGGAGCATTGTTGCTGTAGTACTCATTGCATAAAACAATGGATCATTACTTGCATATGTGAACTTCCATCACGGGGGTGTACAGATCTAATGGCTGGTAATGGATACTCAACACTTTACAGAGAAAAGGATAAACAGACAACAGATGAATTCAAGTAATTAGTCCATATAGTCAACCACACCAATAAATGGGTACAGGCATATATCTCCACTAAGAGTATGGTCCTTGATGTATTGAGGTGTTTCAGAGAGATAACCTAATTATAGATGCTTATTAGATTCATACAGGGTTCTCTTGAAAGTGTGGAGCCACTCATCACTGTAGAGTATGTTGTACATAATTGAAAAGTCCCACTAGTACAACAGATTATGTTTGTGATGCAGTAAATATTGTGTCTGCCTCTTACAGTGAAGCAGCATCCCTTAAAGAACCAAAGCATGCAGACAATGCAGAGTTGCTGTGTTGTAAACGCTTACGTCGCTCTCAGCTCTCTAAAGGACTGGACATTGCCATACTCCATTAAATGTTGATTAAGCAAGGCTGTCAGTCATGGGGCTGTGGTAAAGTCCATGGGAGCGTAGCAGGTGTATTGAAAGGATGGAAGAGCACATCCAGTGGCAAGTCTCTGCATTCGCTTTTTGCAGCTTGATGGGGGAAACTTACAGGGCATTTTTTCATGTCCATAGACATCATGAGAACATTGTCATCTGGTTTTGCTGTGCTTAGGCGTAGCCTAGCTTCATCAGTATGTAGGGTTTGTGTGAATTGTATCTCTTCCTCTTCTGCAGCCTCCTGTTTCCTTAAAGCAGTGTTTCTCAACTCCAGTCCTCATGGACCCCCAACAGGTCATGTTTTCAGGATTTCCATTATTTTGCACAGGTGATTTGATCAGTTTCACTGCCTTAGTAATTACCACAGCTGTTTCATCTGAGGGAAATCCTGAAAACATGACCTGTTGGGGGTCCATGAGGACTGGAGTTGAGAAACACTGCCTTAAAGTGACCAGAGGAGGTGAACCCGAAAGTCCTACCTCCCAACTTTCAGATATGGGAAAGATGGACACCCTTTAACACAAAGTGTGTAAGCACACATCCCCTACAACACCTCCAGTTATGTGACCCATGAAGATTTAATAATCAAAAATAATTGGCTAAACTCAAAAGTACCCTCTTTCATCACAATTTCCTTTATATTGACTTTTTAAAACAATAATGTTATAACAAAAAAGTCTGTACGAAAGGTTCAGTGTAGTGTAGTGTAGTGTAGCACTTATGGTAGTGAAAGTAGAACTCCAGGCCAAACCTATATAGCCTTTCTCCCCATAACATCTCTACTGACTAACCTGTGTAAGAAAGATGTATGTATATACTTATCTATTTTCAGGCCACTCTGGTATGGTCACGTGATCCAGCTTCCATGTGTAAGCCACATGGCAGCTGCAGGGGAGAGGAGGAAGTGCTGGCAACAGGTGAACTTTAGAAGCTTATGGATGACGTCACTGCTCCCAGGAATAATCAGCCACTGTTGAACACGCTCTCCTCTTCTCTGCAACTGCCATTGGCTGACACCGCTGACCAGACCAGAGTGGCCTGAAAATAAGCAAATATACAGATCTTTCATACACAGGTTAGTGAGAATAGGAGTTAGGAGGATGGAAGGAGCATGTGTAAGATTAGTTAGGGACCGTTTGGAGGTATGTGAAAGAGACAGCCAGGCTCTTGATGAAGTCATATAGAAAATGGCGACCCAGCTTGTGGTGATGGAGCAGAGGGTCACAATAGCACAGCGCGGGATTTGATGGGTGAGTATATTTACTGTATGTGGTAGGCAACAATGACAGAGGTGGGGTGATACAGAAAATATAAAAATACTTTTAGATTTTATAGATTTTAATACTGTCTTCCATTAGCAGGGGAAGTACAACTGATTACAATGTATTCAGACCATCACTCTGTGCGCTTAATAATGCATTGCTTCTCACACTATGGACGTTTATCACTGTAATTATCTCTGCAAAAACCTATATCCTCTGAAATGAGCAGTGCACTCCATACCTATCATCTTTTTCCTTGTTTTACTGATATGACTGTTTTTTGACAGAGAAGGAACCACCAAAGTCTATGCATGAGGAATATACAGTATATACAAGAAGAAAATAAGCTTGTTTAAAGGCGCAAAAGCAGAATGTTCTCACTGTATTTATTGCTAAGTTACTGCATCCTTTTTCTATGCACTACTCCGATGTGATGTTTAGAAGATGTAGTGCCCTCTGGTGTTCAGATGAAAAGTTACACAGTGAATCTAATCTGCCTTATGTGTGTTGATTTTATTGGAAAAATATTTACATCCTCCTACTTTTATTGTTTATTAATGTGTGTAATGGAAATTATCTTTCTATTTTTTAATACACTTCAAAATGTTGCTAATTTTAGGAGGACCATTACTGTATAATGAAGTGAAACTTGTGCACAATTCAGAATACCTTAATGGCACTCAGAGGGTACAGCTGGACAATGTTATTTCAGAGGAGGAATGTCAAGAGCTCCAGGGAGTTGCCAATGTAAGGAAGCACTTTGCACCAGTTGTCTTGTGTTTTATAGATTTTACTTCAAAGTGTACATTCTGCTACAAAACAATTATATGCTGATTCAAAAGTAGAATAACTGATAAAGAATTTGCTATGATAGCTGACTATTACAGGAAAGGCCTGTATGCATAATCCTTGGAAATAAGGACGCTTGGAAATATTTGCTTATAGAATTCCTGGAAGACAGATTGAAACATCTATGTTTGCTTTAAAGCCTGTACCAAACAATTTAATGTAATGCATTCAGAAGCCTTGAGTGTTTCAGATTAAACTATTTTAAAGCTCTCTATACTTTACAACACACAACTTAGCATGGGTGCCGCTTTGATAATTTTAATGAGCTCAACACTAGTTTTTCCCATCTCTAATATAAAACAGAAAATACTTTCTGACCCATGAATCGCTTGAGGTTATCTCTATTTTGTAAGAATAGTCAGTAATCTAAGCACTTGGGTGATAAACTTAAAAGGTAAACTAAGTTACAAATAAAGTACCCTATTCTCAACTAGAACAGTTGGCAGGCATCTCTGCATGTCCACGTGTCGGAATAATTTTTAGTTCAACACCCTAGAGGCCCCAAGCTCAGGTGTATGTTGCATGTATTGAGTATGTATTGACCACATTTTTTCTGGGTTGAGTGCTTTTCCCTGCCCCTTCTTGCCTCCCAAACCTTATTATTGGCTATTGAGGACAATTTTCAAAGCAATGACCCAATTGTGAGACTTACAAGGCAGGAAGGGTGGAACAAGGCTGTTCATCAGCTGTGCTGATAAATGCATACAAGATCACCTTGGGATTTAGGGAAAGTAAGATTCTGAATTGAAAGATGGACCAATGGGACAGGTCTACTACATACAGTCACAGCACATTCACTTCCAAGGCAGGAAGGGTGGAGCAAGGCTGTTCATCAGTTGTGCTGATAAATGCATACAAGATCACCTCGGGATTTAGGGAACCTACGATTCCGAATTGAAAAATGGACCCATGGGACAGGTCTACTACATATAGTCGCAGCACATTCACTTCCAATGGCCTTCAACAGACCACAGAATATCTTCAATTTGTCTTTTTTGTTTTTTAGCACAGGGAAGAGATAAAACCCTAAGGCCCCTTTCACACGGGGTGGACTCCAACTAAGGCCCCTTTCACACGGGGTGGAATCCAACTAAGGCCTCTTTCACACGGGGCGGACTCCAACTAAGGCCCCTTTCACACGGGGCGGACTCCAATTAAGGCCCCTTTCACACGGGCGGACTCCTACTAAGGCCCCTTTCACACGGGGCAGACTCCAACTAAGGCCCCTTTCACACGGGGCAGACTCCAGCAGCAATTCTGTTTCTAAGAGGGGGATCTGCTTATGCAGAGTGGACACAGACACCTCCCGTCCTTCATTATGGGAGGTTGGATGTAAACATACCGCCTGTCCGTTAACATCCAATTGCCATCCGATCTGATCTGCTGGATGGAAGGGGAAAGGATCCCTATCCATCTGTTTTTGGTGGATCGGACTGGATGTAGGTGGGTGTAAACAGACTGTTTACATCTGATCTCTCATAGAGAAGAATGGATGTTCTGATTGGGTCCATCTAAAAAAAGGACAGTTGGACCTGATCGGAATGTTTGTGTGAAAGTTGTCTAATAAGGCTATTTCTGCTGTCTTTTTCTCACTAGATATCACTTTGCTTCCTTTGCTGGAGATTCCACAGGAAATTAGAGAAAATCTTTTCAAAGTAAACAATAATAGTTTTTTTTTTTTAGCAACAGGTGTCCACTCTAGATGCTTTTTCCTCAATGTTCGATCTCATGACATCTCTAAAATTGAGGGTTTCCTTTTACTTTGTCTGGTCATAATGGTCACCAGGACAAACAGAGAAGTGGGAAAGAGGAGTGGGCTTTAGGTCTGTAGGACCACATTCTGCTGCCATGCTTCAGTCAAACAGCGTTCTCTTTACAAGATGTATTAGACTTCATGCACATGGGTAGAAAAAAAAACACTGCTTTTAGGGGCTTTTTTTGTATGCCTCAAATCTATTGTTGTGGTTTTTAGATTTTTATTTTAGTGCAGCATTCAGGGGCAAAAAAAACATATCCCAAACCTGCATTCAGAGAGGAGCTTTGTGGCATAATTTACTCACATAAATGCACATGCTTACATGTAAATTTATTCTAGTAGCAAGAATAAATGAATTATCTTGCCAGTTAAATGAGTTTACATGCATATGCCTCTAAACTCCATATGCACATAAATACAGAGAAATATGAGGGTTTTTTATGTTGGAGTTTTTGGTCAGCACCTGACAGAAAGATCCAGCGCAGATGGAAGTGGTTTAATCAGCCCATGTAATATAATTGCATTATTATTGATGTATGAATAACGTAAGCTTTTTTTTTTGTTGAACACAAAATGTAACAGAAAAGTTACAGCGGATCTCCAACAACCTCAAACCCACTGTACCGCCCCATGTTTTTTTTCTTTTTTTTTGTATTTTATTTCAGCTTACAGGAAGGAATTATTTTCACATTTCAGATACCCACCTATCCAACAGATCCAGCATCATCCCATGTCCTGCCACTGCTCTGTCCCACTCCACCATGTCCTTTCTGACATCATTGAGAGGCCCGCCAGCTGATGACACACAGATAAGCATGCCCCCTGCTCAGGGGCGGACTGACAACTCATGGGGCTCCTGGGCAACAGGGGATCATGGGGCCCCTGTGTCCTTGCCCAAACTCAAAAAAAACCTATGAAAAAGGTACCAGGGGCATCTCATGGGGACCCCTACTGACCCCGGGCCCTCGGGCAGTGCCCGAGTTTCCAAATGGTCAGTCACCCCTGCCCCTGCTTCTCTTCTGAATGAAAGGCTATGCCTCCTGGGATATGTGACATGCATAGCTCAGGAGGAACAGCGGACAGTATGTGTGTCGTCCACCTAGGCAAACAATGTGCCTTGGGAGGCAGGGCAAGACAGTTTTGTAAAAAAAAAAGAAGATAAAAAAATAAAAATCAGCGTTATACCCATACAGGATGGGAGGAAGGGTGAAGTGGAGGGAAGTTGTTTCAGAGGGTGAATATCCCTTTAATAGGTTCATTGAAAATTGCAGTTTGAGAATGACTAAGTGCCCAGCCTCTAGGCTTAGTATCATGTCTTCTTTTAGGGTGCTTTCACATTGCTTCCACTGTGCTATGACTGCAGCGCCAGTGCAGTGCAGTGTACCTGCATTTTTTGTGTAGTTTAGGTGTGCTGACCCATAAACTTCTATTATGTTGTGTGGTTTTGGTGCACTTTCTGACGTCACACCAAAACTCCTGCATGTAGGACTTTTGGTGCTTCTTCAGAAAATGCACCAAAACCACACAACATAATAGATGTCTATGGGAAAGTGCAGCTAACCTACACAAAAAAACACAAGTATACTGCACTGCTGCCAAAGTGCAACAGATCAGTGTGAAGCCACCCTTACATTAGTAACCAAAAATCGTGTTATCCATATCTGGTTATTTACCATATAGAATATCTGTATACTGTATATTTGTATATGTACTATATAGTAGACAGCCTATGCCTATACATTTTTAAGCATTAGTTGAAATGTTCAGTTGTGCTCAATAGTATTGCTTTACTTTGTACGACTGCTTAGTTTAACTGTGTTTTCAGACGATAACTCTAGCAGGCGATGGATACAGAGGAAAAACCTCCCCTCACACTCCAAATGAGAAGTTTGAAGGTGCCACAGTGTTGAAGGCATTAAAGGTAAAATTGTTTTTGTACTGTATGAGTAATGGGTAACAACATGAATCTGCTATTACACATTTCTATCTGAAGGCTTTATTTGTCCAATTGTATTAAAAAAAGAACACTTCTTATTGCCAATACCGGCCAGTCATTTATTCCCTTTTACTTTCTGACTGCAGTATGTAAGAAACAAAAGGAACATTAATGGTATTGTTGATACAAAAAATATATGTTCCATAGGGCACTCTTGTTAGAGACCAACCTCTGTGGCTATGGGATAGAGGTGCCGGATGGATATCAGGGATGGATGGAAGCAATAACATTGAGGCACCTCTTCTTAGAGTGGAGGCAATGAACATAAAGAAAAGGAAGGCGCCACTAAGTGTAGTATTGACAATTTAATAATAGACAATTTATGAATTGCACTTACAAGATAAAAGTGTTAAAAGGCTCATCGTATAATATCTGTAGATCCTGGTAGGACATCCAGCCGTCCAGCGGCAGCGTGGTCCGTGAGAGTCAAGAAGTAAGAGCAGGGATAACTCTGTTTCCAAAACGAGGCATGGAGTGAAGCGTCGGATGTGGCAGGAGATGGGGGGTGGTAACGCATTTCGGAGCATGCACAGTAAGCTCCGTCCTCAGACCTAAGCCCCAGTGTGGCACTGACAATTTTATAGTTGTGAAGAGAATCAGGAAAGCAAGTGACTCCTAGGTCCTAAGGACGTATTCATTAAACTACATTGTGAGAAGCTTATTATAGTTGTATAAACTCCATTAAGACAAGGATCTTTCTCAGAATGCTATAATGGGATAATAACTAGATAAAAAAAACCTATATACAACTATAGTAAGCTTACTCACTTAGAATGTTTTCTAACTGATTCTAAATATGTTGTTGCAACATTTCGTGTTATTAGATTTTTTCATGGTATTATTAATTTTTTAATAATCATTATCTTTATTTACAATATTGATATGTCCATTACTACGAATGTCTATTTTTACTTATACTCTTTTCTTTTATTTATTATTTGAATTTAATTTTTTTTCATTTATTTACTTCTTATTGTTATTTACCTTACCAGCTTTATATATATATATATATATATTTATTATTATTTTTTATATATATATACTGTATATATATCTTTTCAACCCATAAGTATTATAGTAATCATCCTGTTTTGATATTTAGCTGTATAGTTCTCACAATGTAGTTTAATGAATAGGTCCTTAGGACCTAGGAGCCACCTGCTTTCCTGATTCTCTTCACAACTATAAAATTGTCAGCGCCACACTAGGGCTTAGGTCTGAGGAAGGCACTTACTGCACATGCTCCAAAACGCGTTACCGCCCCCATCTCCAGTCACATCAGACACTGTGCTCCATGCCTCGTTTTGGAAACAGAGTTAGCCCTGCTCTTATTTCCTGACACTCATGGTCCGTGCCTCCACTGGACGGCTGTATATCCTACCAAGAACTACAGATATTATATGATGAGCCTTTTAACACTTTTATCTTGCAAGTGCAATTCATAAATTATCTATTATTAAATCATCAATGGTGGCGCCTTCCTTTACCTTGTTCATTGTTGATACAAAAACTGGTTTTCCTTCCAACAATTTATTAAATAACAGTCAAGAACCTATCTTGTATAAAACAAAAACTTGAGTGCCCTCTGCTGACAAACTGCATAATTTTTTGGCGCTCCAATAGATTAGGCAAAATCAAAAATGACATACTGTATATGAAAGAGTCTGTCAGTAGCATTAACACAGCAGTCTTTGTTCAATTCTTTAAAAATCATACAATGTGATTTCCTGAATTTTTTTTAAATGCTGTCTCTCAGAGTGGGAATGCACCTACAATGTGAATTTCAGACCCCTCCATGAATTCTAAGTGGGGAGAACTTGCAAAATCACAGGGTGTTCAAATACTTCTGTTCCTCACTGTATATTATTTAGTCTCATTCTAACAGAGAGACTGGAATGTGCAGCATATTACAATATTCCACCTAGCTGCTTATCATGACTTTAGAACTGAATAACAAAACATAGTTATAACAACCATAAATTGAAAAAGTAAAATGGTAATCATATCTAATTGAGTTTTTTTTTATGAAATAATATATTGTCTCTGTGCAATATGCTAATATTTCCTATTGCTATTATTTTTCTTAAGTTTGGATTTGAAGGTCGCGTACCAATGAAAAGTGCTCGCTTGTTTTACGATGTGAGTGAAAAAGCGCGGAGGATTGTCCAGTCATACTTCATGCTGAACAGTACACTGTACTTTTCTTACACACACCTAGTATGCAGGACAGCCTTGCAAGGTAGGTAAAGACTAATTTCTGTAGTTTGAATTAAGGTTAGTGTTCATAGTAAGCTATTGGCTGCCCAAAAAAAGTGCTATACTCTTTACCACATTTCTCAGTCACCGATTTATAAACTGCTAGCGGATTGATTGTTGCTATACTGCTGTCAAACAGCTTTGCAGGGGTTAGAATTTGTATTTAATGTGCAGAACTGCATAATGCACATGTGCACTTTATATATTCCGTTGAGAATTATAATAATAATGAGTTACTGTAGTGTTTTAAGTGTGGGACACTGCAGGGCTCAGGAATTCTGTAAATAACTGCCTTGTGGAAGACTATACTTCTTCTAGTGTCTGCTAACAGCAGTGAATACTCCCAGGTGCAGACTGAACCAATGTGTGTGGGCTTGTATGTGTTCAAATGAACATTGTGAAAGGGTCAATGTCCTTCTGGAGTATAGGTGGGGGAGATATATGCTAATCATTCTTATAGTAAAGACTGTGCTCAGTCACTGCAGTTGTCGTGATGGTGATAAATAACTCCAAAGCAAAGCTTGGAAGGGACCTTTTTTTTACTGTGAAAGCAAGTCCATTCTTTTCTACAATTTTCAGAACTGTGATACTTAAAGATTTAACAGATCTCAGTAGAAATTGATGGATAGTTTAACTGAGACACAAAGAAACAAATTTGCAGTACATCTGAAGGAACTGTTTTTTTTTTTTTGGAGGAATCAAATCATTCATTCCTTTTCAATAGTTCCTGTTCTAGCTGATATACAGATCAGTATATGAGGTGGTATCAAAAGGTTTTGAGACTAGTTTTGTAAAGCACCAAACAGATGGCAGCACAATGCTGCACGCACAGTCACAGGGAGCACTGACCTTTATAAGTCAGTGTGTCAAAAGACATTTTATAGGTACTTGTATAGCGTCGTCAATTTACGCAGCACTTTTAAATATATATTGTACATTCACATCAGTCCTTAACCCTCAAGGGACATACAATCTAAAAGTCCTTAACTTACATTCACACATACACATACTAGGGCAAATTTAGACAGGATCCAATTAACCTACCAGCATGTCTTTGGAGTGTGGGAGGAAACCAAAGTGCCGGAAGGAAACCTACGCAGCCACAGGGAGAGCATGCAAACTCCAGGCAAGTGGTAACGTGGTTTCGATACGAACCAACGACCCTAGTACTGCCAGGCAGAAGTGCTAACCATTTAGCATCACATTGTTCTGCGTACATTTGGAGCTGTGCAACTGGTGTTATTCTGACCACATGTGTTACCACATCTGATATGTCATCATGGACAATTTAAAACAAAGAGTAAACGTGAAATTCTGCATGAAACTGGGCAAATCTGCCACAGAGATATTTAACATGGCAAGTTTACGGCGATGCTGCAATGAGTTGTTTGAAGTGTTTTGAGTGGCACGCGTGCTTCATGAGCGGAAGAACATCACTGGAAGACAGCGAGAGATCAGGTAAACCTTCTACGAGCTCAACCCCCGAAAATGTCGAAACCATTTGGCACTTGTGCATGTTGAGGATCATAAATGGTGATGAAACTCTGATACAGGTTTCATGCACAAATTTCACGTTTGAGCTTTGTTCTAACTTGCTGTCCATGATGAAACAGCAGACGTGGTAACACAGGTGGTCAGAAAAGCAGTTGCACAGCTCCCGATGTACACAGGACAATGTCTTTTTGCACACTGACTTATGATGGTCAGTGCTTCCTGTAACTGCGCGTGCAGCCTTGTGCTGCCATCTGTTGACGTGTTACAAAACTAGTCTTGAAACTTTTTGATACTACCTAATACTAATTAACTGATAAACCTTCAATCCATCCTTTGGATTGTTGCATGGTTAGTTTTAACTGTTAAAACACAGAAAAAGCAGTGATAAATAACCCCAGAGGGTTATTTACCACTACGTTTTCTGTATATTACGTTGTAGTGACCATTCTTGTTCTTTAATTCATCATGGTCATAGGTGTGTTGTTTGCCCAAGTATTCTGTTATGAAATCATTTGATTTGGACATGGCAAAGTAGGAAGGGCATTTGGCAGGAAACATTTTTAAAATGTTGCCATTGCAGTTTTTGCCACTCAGTGTGCAAAACATTTAGAGCGTCATTCCACTGCAAGGTGGTTTCTTGTCATAAATTCTCTGTTCAACTTTTCAAAAACTTCTCAAAGTGAAAGCCAGAGTGGAAGCTCTTGTTCCTTTGGTTATTCCCATACTTGGTTCCGCCATACAGTATTTTATTAAGCTCTCCAGTAAAACACAATTTAATCCTTAGACTGCCAATGGTATGTATAATTGAAATTAAAGGGTTGAATTAAGCTCATATGCAAACTATTATAATAGCTGTATAAGGTAGAACTGATACAGACAGCTAGAAAGAATCCTCAACACTTCTGTACAGATGCACCCACCCAAACTTTGGTCCTGAGGCTCACATTGTTCCTGTGTGAGCTCAGGGTATATGTATTAGCAATCAGGATGGCAATGGGTGGGAGAATGGTCAAGTGCTGTGTTCTTCCAGGTTAGTAGAGTCACTGTTTATAACGCAAAGTGTTGGGCAATACCTTTTTTTGGAGACTAGCTGGTAAAATTGCTGTGAAACCTTTTGTTTGTGCAGTGCAGTACACAGCCCTTCCATGTCCTCCTTACATCATGGGTTGGTTGCCATTTTTGCAAGATAGTCACTGCTCCAGTACAGGAGTGGGGTAGAGGTACAGTAGATAAAGGATTCTCATACTGCTGGACACAGAGATTGCATCAAAAATAATGTTTAGACTCAGGTTGTCTCCATAAGAGAGCCTGAAACCACCAGTATATAAAGCATAGGTGGCAGGTCAGCTTCATTTTGAAACCAATAAATTTAAGTATGTTGAAAGATCAAATATAGAAAATATAATAAAAAAATATTGGAAACCACAAATTAAAAAAGGTACATATTCAACATTTACAAGCACACGATAATGAATGTACACTTTATAATGCCTATTATTCATCGCAGATATTAGAACTTTTTTTTTTGTTTACAAACGATTTTATTATGTGAAAGTAGACTGTAAAACAACAGCACATTTTCAAATAGAACTTTCAGCAAAGATATTAGAACTTTTGAGATAATTTAGGGGCAACATTTCCGATGGACTCTATTTTAGGGCCCCTTTACAATTTTGCAGTGCAATAGCATACATTTGACATGTTAAAGAGTGGTGTCATTCATAGTGATTGGCACCCCAATGTACCAGCAGTACAGTGCCCTGCAACACACAAAAACACAATACTATATGTTGTGGTGGGCTGCATTGGAAAAAAGTGCAGGTATGTTTTCATTTCATCTCTGGTGGGTTTGTAGCCCATTCAAATTGAAGGGACTGCCTTAACAAAACACACCTATTGGGCAAGCACAAGTGATATCCATTTTCAGGCTATAGAGTTTGCATCTCCTAGAAAAATTTGTGACTTATTAACAATACACAGTCCAGATATTGATATTCAATGGAAATTCAAGAGATTATGTTTATAAACAAAATAGTTTTCAGATTTTTTAATTTATAATGTTTTCATTTTTAAAACAAATGGTGAGTTTGGTGCAATGTACAAAATCAAGAATGCTATCATTTTTTAATATTAAAAGTCTACTACCCACAAGTTTGGGTAGGTCTGTTTTGAGTTTTCATGCCCATAACGTGTGTTTTTTATTGAGAAATGGGGCATTTGGCCTGGCAACAGAAGTGTTAACATGACTATCCTGTTTTTACCACAGTATTAAGTTTTTTTTTTTTTGAGGAACGGTTTCTGCTTTTTTGTTAAGACATGTACAGCTTAACAAAATTACTATAATAACGATGGTCATTATTGCTTTCATTTAGTCTACAAACAATGCATGGCATAGAAAAGCAAATGAATCCCGTGCCCTAGATTTATACCTAGAATAATAATAGTACAGTAATTGCCTGCATCTGGCCTCTCTGTACACTAGATGTCCTCAGTTCCATAGTGGATTGCCCTGAGCACTCCATCATTTTATAGGAAATCTCTGCCCATAACTCTTTCTTGTTTGCACTAGATGTATCTGCCGATCATTTAAAGGAAATCTATAGTGTGTTATTTTAATATGCATCTTTTAATTATATTTGACAATACTATAAAAATTATTACCTTATTCTATTTAACACCAAAGATGGTAACATTTTGATTGGTGGATTAACACAGTTTGGAAAAAGGTATAAAAGCAGTGTGAGGCTAGGTTCACACTTGTGCGTGTGTGGGACTATGTGTAAATTGCACGCTTCCCTGCACCCAGAGCAAAAATGTGCAGATGTGCGGTTCATTCAAGGCACCCCACCATAGCACGTTTTTCAGTGTTGGAAATTGCATAGCACTATGCAGTTTTCCTGTGGCTGCAATTTTTTAAAAAGTGCAGGGACCTTTTCCCTGTATTTTCCATAGGTACAGCAGTACATTAAAATAAATGGAAATGTAGCCACAGGGAAACTGCAAGTGTGAACTTAGCCTTAAGTTTTCTTATAAGAAAGTCCTGAGTATTTTTTGGAAAGTAAAGCAGAAATATAACAGTCCCCTGCGCTCAAGAGTGGTCTATTAGGATGGGACTGTATCAGGTCCTTCATGCATCCAGTACCAACACTGGCCGTGCTGCTCTCTAGCGGTTGGGGGAGAACCTGCAGACAATAACTGTAAAAACAATTTAAAAAAGGGCACACCTGCCATGTGCATTACCTAAGGTGATAGCTTTATTAATCCAAAGTAAAATATACTCAACCAGTACACAGGATCAGCTCCCAAACTCGTGAGGACCAGCTTAAGGCTGACACTTTCAAGGAGCAGTCTCCTCTTCCTCAGAGCCAATCTGATATCTTAGAAAAAGTCTAAGCGCACTTATCAAATTGTGTTTTATAATTTTTTTATTGCCAGCCGGATAGATATTACCTCCATGGCATGTACATCTTGGGCGACATGTTCTAAGGAGGATGGATGTGCATTACTTATTTGTTTATTTAATTTCCCATTTAAGTCAGAGTAGGTGTAGCCTGCTCTGTGGAAATCAGGAAAGGAAGAGGCGGCACCCTCTAACTGCAGTATAAAAAACTCTTTAGTATGGTAAAATAGTAATACAAGCCACTCAAAAAGGTATAGTGGAATGTACTTGTGATCTAAGTAATCACCCGCTGTGTGAAGGAGCCCGAGCCTCTAAGCGTATGGGGAGATCTGGTGTGTGGTGGTGATGCTGGTGGCTTCCAGCATATCCTCCGAATTCCGGGATTCCCTCTGAGTGGAGAAGACTACACTTCCGGTCATGTGATGGCGGGGGTGGCTCACGTTCGGAGCATGTGTGCTCCCTCGTCAGGCTTGCGCGCACCTGCAGGCTACCTGCACCACCATTTATGGGCTCACCTGTCGATCACCGGGTCCCGGTCGGTGATTCCTCGCCGGCACCCAGCAATCGCTGTGTATCACCGACGGGGGGAGAGACATGTATGTAAACAATACAGATCTCTCCCGTCAGCTCCTGTGCATTGCTTTGTATTGCTCTGCATAGCAGAGCAATAAAAAGCAATGTGCTTACACAGTAAAACAGACAAACAGCACACAGTAAAACAGCACACAGTTAACCCTTTGATCACCCCAGATGGTAACCCCTTCCTGCCCAGTGTCAGTTCTTTTTATTAGCACTGATCTCTGTATTGGTGTCACTGGGGATGTCAGTGACAGTTAGTCAGTTCCCCCCAGTGTCAGAATGCCAGCTGCAGTCACGCTATAAGTCACTGATCGCCGCCATTACTAGTATATAAAAAAAAATTAAAAATACAGTATGTTTACTGCCCTTTGTAGATGCTATAACTTTCACGTAAACCAATTAATTTACATGTATTGGGATTTTTTTTTTAGCAAAGACATAGCATCATACATTTTGGCCTAAATTTGATTTTTAAAACTTTTTTACTGGACATGTTTAACCTCCTTAGCGGTATTCCCGAGTGTAGCTCGGGGTAACATTTCAGTACCAAGAGCGGTAACCTCGAGCTACACTCGGGAATACCCTGCGGCACTGCTCTGGCATTTGTTCTTCACTTACCTTACCCTGCGCTCCCGCGATGTGTCCCCTGCAGCGTCCCCGGCCATCTCCTCCGGCCGATGCCGGCATCTGGCTTCTGTGTCCTGTCCCTGTGACGTCGGGACGTACGGGCGCCGCCGGCGGCGGGAAATTTAAAAATTTTAAAAAATGTCATTTTTTTTTTTTTACATTTTACATAGTAAAATTTGCTGTCTCAACCAATTTCACATACATTTTGTCCCGAGTGCTTTGTCCGGCGCCCTGCCTGCATTTTGTCTGTTCTTTCTGCCTGGAAACTGAGAAACGTCCATGCATCCAAAAAGTGTCCCTTTAGGTCAAAATCGGTTTTTAGACCAGCTAGAGAACAGCGATAGTAAATCAGAACCACTTGCAGAATTGAGTGATAATGATTCGTGGGGGAAATTCGTCATCAGACACTGAAAACGATTTTGCGACTTTGCTCAGCAATGTGCGAACTTGGCGCTATATTTCAAATTTCAGTATTTTTGGTTTGATTATATTATTGAATTAAATTTTTTATTATTATATTATTTTTATGATTATTTATTGAATTATAATTTATGATTTTGTGTTTCAAATTTTGTCATACCCGGGATGTTTAATAGACTCTTGTTCGGACAGATTTCAGTGAGTTATTCCTAAAAATTACAGCCTACAATTAAAAAAATACATATTTCCATGCAAAAAAATGGTACCGCTTTCAGCACCAAAAATCTGAAATAATCATACCGCCAGGGAGGTTAATAGCAAAAAGTCAAAAATATTGTTTTTTCTCAAAATTGTTGTTTTTTTTTTATAGCGCAAAAAATAAAAACGCAGAGGCGATCAAATGCCACCAAAAAAGGCTCTATTTGTGGGGGAAAAAAAGGACATAAATTTCATTTGGGTGCAGCGTTGCATGACCACGCAATTGTCAGTTAAAATAATGCAGCGCTGTATCACAAAAAATGGCCTGGTCAGGAAGGGAGGTAAATCCTTTGGAGGGCAAGTGATTAATAAAGTAGTGAAATATTTAAATAAACATCAGTATAAATAAATTTGTGAAAAAGGGATGACATGCCATTTGTTAAACCACTCTTAGAAACAATAGATAATTTTTTCCTTTATGTTTTCATCTTTTCTGCATTTTTTGGTTGTGGTTTATAGCACATTTTGTTATGGAACAAAATGATCTTATTAAGTAAGCCTCTTGCGGTTTGTTGCAGGTCAACAAGACAACAGGAATGATTTGAGTCATCCCATTCACGCTGATAACTGCCTGCTTGATCCAGAAGCCAATGAATGTTGGAAGGAATCTCCGGCCTACACATACAGAGATTACAGGTGCACATATCTCTATTCTTCAAGCATGCCACCTTTAAAACACTATCATTGGGTTGTAAAGTAGTACATTACGTGATCTCTGAGAGTCTGTACTTATCAGTTTTAAATGTATCTACTGCCTGATGATTTTTGATTTTATGGAAGATCTTATTAGACACTGTATGAAATCTTCATATTAAAAAAATGATTTGTAGGAATATTGCAGTGCAAAAATATATTAATATGTCTAAGACTAGGGTCACACTGTTGTGCGCATTCCTGACACATTGTTAAGCACCATGTGATTCTGTGGGTTTTTTTTCAGTTTTTTTCATGCAATTTCAAAAAGGGTCCAGGACTTCTTTATATTTCTGCGGGTAGGGCAGCCCATTGAAATAAATGGATTTACAGAACATAGGTCGCACATGTCTGATCACAGTCTAAATGACTTTTTGTAGATTTTATCTCAGTTTGCAAAGGTTGGAGTGCAGCTATGATCCTTTGCTGATTAAAAACAACCTGATATTTGTCTCTCCCTTCTGTTTTAAGAGGCGTCATTAGGATTGTGCCTAACTCCACTATTGCTCACCGTGATTGAAACATGAAGCACATCAAGAGTAGTTGCTTAGTTCTATCTACCTGCTGTTGAGAGGGAGAAGTGGTCAAAACACAAGACCTATTGTTTACATTCCTCCACATATGTATGGCTGTTATAAACATTTGTACCCACTTTGTTACATAGTAAGGTGGCATAAAGTTGAAAAAAAAAGGACTGAGGTATATTATTAAACAGTTATGTTATACAGTTTCACGAAAAGGCCAAACCAAAACCAAATTTCACCACACAGGAAGACAAATATTTCCTTCTTCCTCTACTCCAAAAGGCAACCAGGCACAATAATTTCCCTGGAGCAGAGTATCACTCTTTTAGGTTTTATTGCACATAACTTTTGATAGTACAGTGAAGGAAATAAGTATTTGATCCTCTGCTGATTTTGAATGTTTTCCCACTCACAAAGAAATGATCAGTCAAATTAACAAATTATGCACTGATTTGCATGTTCATGAGGGAAATAAGTATTTGATCCCCTATCATTCAGCAGGATTTCTGGCTACCAGGTGTCTTTCATACAGGTAACAAGCTGAGAATAGCAGTCTCTTAAAGGGAGTGCTGCTAATCTAATTTTGTTACCTGTAAAAAAGACACCTGTCAAACTCTCCACCATGGAAAGACCAAAGAGCTGTCCAAGGGACAAGATTTTAGACCTACACAAGGCTGGACTGGGCTACAAAACTATCGCCAAGCAGCTTGGTGAGAAGGTGACAACAGTTGGTGCAATCATTCGCAAATGGAAGAAACACAAAACAACTGTCACTCTCCCTAGATCTGGTGCACCATGCAAGATCTCACCTCATGGAATGTCAATGATCATGAGAACTACACGTGAGGATTTTGTCAATGATTTCCAGGCAGCTGGGACCACAGTCACCGAAAAAACAATTGGTAACACCCAGGGGCGGACTGACAACTCATGGGGCCCCTGTGTCTGTGTGTGTGTAGGGGATCATGGGGCCCCTGTGTCCTTGCCCAAACTCAAAAAAGCCTATGAAAAAGGTACCAGGGGCATCTCATGGGGCCCCCTACTGACCCCGGGCCCTCGGGCAGTGCCCAAGTTTCCAAATGGTCAGTCCGCCCCTGGTAACACCACGCCGACAAAGATTGAAATCCTGCAGTGCCCACAAGGTCCCTCTGCTCAAGAAAGCACATGTCCAGGCCCAGGTCTGAAGTTTGCCACTGAACATCTGAATGATGCAGAGGAGGACTGGTTGAAAGTGTTGTGGTCAGATGAGACCAAAATCGAGCTCTTTGGCATCAACGCAACTCGCCGTGTTTGGAGGAGGAGGAATGCTGCCTATGACCCCAAGAACACCATCCCAACTGTTAAACATGGTGGTGGAAACATTCTGCTTTGGGGGTGTTATTCTGCTAAGGGGACAGGACAACTGCACCGCATCAAAGGGACGATGGACGGGGCAATGTACCATCAAATTTGCTAAGGGGACAGGACAACTGCACCGCATCAAAGGGACGATGGACGGGGCAATGTACCATCAAATCTTGAGTAAGAACCTTCTTCCCACAGCCAGGGCATTGAAGATGGGTCGTGGATGGGTGTTCCAGCATTACAATGACCCAAAACACATAGCCAAGGCAACAAAGGAGTGGCTCAAGAAGAAGCACATTAAGGTCCTGGAGTGGCCTAGCCAGTCTCCAGACCTTAATCCGATTGAAAATCTGTGGAGGGAGCTGAAAGTTTGAGTCGGCCACCAAACCTTAGTGACTTGGGGAGGATCTGCCAAGAAGAGAAGTGGGCCAAAATCCCTCCTGAGATGTGTGCAAACCTTGTGGCCAACTACAGGAAATGTCTGACCTCTGTGATTGCCAACAAGGGATTTGCCACCAAGTACTAAGTCATGTTTTGTGAAGGGGATCAAATACTTATTTCCCTCATGAACATGCAAATCAGTGCATCATTTTTTAGACATGCATTTCTTTTGAATTGTTTGTTGCTATTCTGTCTCTCAGTGATACAATACACCTATCATTCGATTTTTAAACGTTCAAAATCAGCAGGGGATCAAATACTTATTTCCTTCACTGTATATGCAAGTGAAGAAACCTGTCTTTTTAGTAAATATAACTTTGAATATTAGATGAATTTTAGATGGAAAAAATGCATCTAGTCCTTCTTTAAATTCCATTATAGCTTTGCCATTTTTAAAAAAGTGCAATACTGAAAAAAAACCCCAAAAAGGCAGAAAGGGAAAGAGAACAATATAAGCTGAGCAGACACAGAGCGGCTTAAAAGGATGGTATAGAAGTCCAGTGTATACAATGGAGACAGATCAGTGCAATAGGGATCATAGAATCTTAGAAAGATATTGAAGGCAGCTGTAGAAAGAGACATTAATGGAAGCAATAATGGAAAACATTAATGGAAGTTTAAAGCAATATTAAACCTAAAAGCAGACATTTATTATATTGCAGCTAACTAATTCTTAGTTGTGGTGGCTGTATTAGTTTCCTTTTTTAGATGTTTTTCAAAAGAACAAGCCCCCTAGCTCATACTGTATATCAGTTACAGGGATGAGGCAAACCATTTACCACTGACAGGGTGCCTAAAATGATCAGCCTTTATACATTTGTGTGAAAACTTTATCCCAAAAGGAAAACAACTGTTGCTTTAACTAACTATAAAGTGTTAGCTGGAGTGTGGCTTCAATTAGTATATCTAAATCTGCTAGTACCTCTAAACACTCCCCTCTACCCAGACCGTCAATGATGCTACCCTAAGGTGCCTAATGTGCTCCATCATCCAGAGTGGGGGCACTCTAATGCAGAGGTGCAATACTGGCCATATCACCAGTTGAATACATAGAGAAAAATGGCTAAAAAAAAGAGAACTTATGCAGTCGTCACCATCTAATGATTGGTAAGCTCCAATATATTACATTTTTGGTTTTGGGATTAATACAACTTTAAGGTTTGGTTAATAGTGGAAAATACTGCTGCTCTGTCTATCTCTAATACGAACGCATTTTTTATTGACAAAAATATATGTACGTGTGATATACACCTGTGTTTACTGTATAATGTTAATCTGAGTGTTCCCAAAAATGTGTTTGCAAGACCTTATAAAAAAAATTAAACAAATTTGTTTTTGTTTTTTTTTGCAGTGCACTGTTGTATCTTAATGGGGATTTTGATGGCGGGGAATTTGTGTTCACTGAAATGGATGCAAAAACTGTCACGGTAAATCTTCTAGATATCTGATCTTCCACTAAGTGTGGAAATAAATAGTGTGGAAGTAATGCTGTGCTGGCTTTATAGATCATTACTGAACATTGCTCTGTAGTCACAGGTCTCAATAGCAATTAACACGGAGACAGAATACCAATATCCTAAAGAATTCAAAGAAATATGACATTTTTTCAGTTCATCGTTTTGAAGAATTTGCAATTCAATATTAAACTGTAATTGCTCATGGATTAAGAAAGCATTCAGTATTCTAAGGTGTTATGTTAAAGATTAGTGGTAGCAAAGGGTTAAATGAGACACTGTCTCCAGACCATTCATTTCAATAAAAATCTTCTCATGAGGTTTAATATACATTATATGTGTTAGTTACCTGTAGAAGCCTCCCTTGTATAGACATCCAAAAAGCCTGAGACTGCTGCTGGGCGCTGACACCTTGTGTGTGTGTGTGTCATGTCAGCAGTACCTGCAAACTCAGAGCTGTCAATCAAGTGACACTCTGTATTACTTCCCTATGCTCCTCTCCCAGCAGCTACATCAAAGTTCTCGGAGAAGTTCGTTTCTAGCAAGTTCAAAGGCACATTGCAAGTGAATAAAATTTTTTTATATATATATATATATACACACACAGACAAACAACCTAAGGCCAAAATTATACATTTGATTTTTCTGTACATTAAATTGACTTTTTTCAGGTTGTGGTTGGGTCTCTGAAATCATTACATTTAAGGTTAGGTGCATTTAAATGCTGGGAGTAGTTGAAAGCCAAGGGCAAAGTTAATTTCATAGTCAAGTTACAGGTTAAAGCAGATATAAATCCCAGCTGGATGATTCAGTTTGCTAAAGCACTATATATTATAAACTAATTTCTGTTGCTGATCTCCTCCAGCCTTTTTAAGCCACCTCCCATCCACATTCAAATCCGAATTTGGCTACACATCATTGATCTGGACTTGTTTACTGATGGCGACAATAGTGGGCCATACCTGAACAGTGTGTGCTATATGTAGTCTTAATAAAAGGACACATGTAACAAGGTGACAGTTGCCACACCATAACAGGAAGGACAAAGACCATCATGGCAGGATCACCAAGTATTATTTTTAAGAAAGCTGCATAATTAAAAAGACTGAAGCTACCTTAAATAACATTAAAGGATAAGTTCACCTTTGGGAACACGTTACATGTTCCATCTGTTTTTAGGATGGAATATGTAGCATGGTTCCCAATGTTGCAGCCACGCCTGCCACCCCACCTCCCTCTGACAGTCAGCATTAGGAAACTTCTCCTTGTATTATCTGTCAGATTTGAAATTAGTGTGGCCGTGCGGGGCTCCGCCCACATGGCCGCGTCATTAAGCCCTCATACACACTTAACGTTTTTAAAGCTGCTGTTTTTGGCTTTTGACTTTTTTTCTACAGCCAGTAAACCCCCCAGCATGTTATCCTGCACACACAGACTAATCAACGTTTTGGCAGGGACATTTTTTGGCTGGAAAAAAAAAACCCCAGGACTAGCAGGACTAGTGGGTTTGTAGAGGAGTTTTTTAGCTGTAAAAATGCTCTAACACTGAAAAATATGGTAAAACGCCGCAGACCAGCATTTTTGGGCTTTTTTTACCAAAAAATGCTAAATAAAAAAAAAGAAAACGTGGAAAAATGCCGCTAATCGTGGCAAAGCGCCACTAAACGCTAATGCAAAAATGCTAAAAAAAAGGCTGAAAAATTCCCGTTTTTAACGTGACTTTACACAGCTAACGTTACCAGCGTTATCAAAATGCCCAGCTTGCATGGAGCCTAATACATGGACTTCTGTGAATGAATGTACTGCAAGTCCTGGCAGCCTTAGAGGCTGTAGGCTTCCAGTTTTCAATGAACTGCCACAGCACTGTGGAGCTCCGTAGTAGTTCATTGAAGCTTCCTGTCTGAATATCTGCTTGGCTGTACATCCCGTATGGCAAGCAGATATTCTGACAGGTCTGCAGGAGACCTGCATGGCATCAGTGATCTACTGATCCATGGTACAATGCTTTACAGGCTGCTTTGGACAAAAATAATAAATGCACATTTTTTTTACCTGCAACAAAATGTGCATTTATTATTTTTGTCCAAAAGGTGAACTTATCCTTTAATATGATATTTTAGTGGCTGGGTTTGCATCTATCTATCTAGACATGAGGTAGAGAAAGATTAAGTGCTAGGGAGCAGGTGAACAGGTTAGGTTAGCTAATATTTATGGGTAATAGCCCCATTGAAAGCAACAGAAGGCTGACAGCTCCCAAAGCTAATCAAGGCCACTAACAAGTAATCACTCATGCAATGATTACCAGGGAATGATGGGCCCTGAAAGCAGACTGTCTGCACCCAGGGCTGATCAATCATGGATCATCACTCTAAAACTGGCCATACACATGTAGATTTTCATTCGAGAATTTTTGTTTCAAGAATATTCGTTTGATTTTCAAAATCGTTAGTGGTGTCAAATCGATGCTTGTTTTCGACCGCAGTGACAGTAAAATTTGAAGGGGCAGGAAGGAAAACTTTCCTCAATCAAATAATTTTTGGCCAGTGTATGTGATTATCGTTCAAAAATTACATACATTTTAAAGTCGAATGTTAAAAGCAAAAGACAATTTTCAGATGACATTCGTCCATTCCCCGAATGTTCAAAGAATTTTCATATGAATATTCTCGTCCAAAATCTACACATGTATGGCCAGCTTAAGGCTGCATTCACACTTGAATGTTTTGTAGCTTGAAGCTCCAAAAATGCTCAAAGGTCAAAAAAATCAGTTGTTCTCTATGGTGCCTGTTCGCGCGATCAGGTGTGAACAGGCACCATAGAGAACAATTGATTTTTTTAAGTTTGAGCTTTTTTGGAGTTTCAAGCTTCAAGCTACAAAACACTCAAGTGTGAATGCAGCCTTAGGTCTCCATAGGAAAGCAGTAAGTCACCATAGGCAAGTCCACTTATAACACATTGCAGCCATTACTGAAACCCACATTTAACATGGAAGAAAATCTGTAAATAATTTGTGAAGGGTGGATGTGTCAGTGAATGATTATGGAAAGTGTGGTGAATGCATAAAGCAAATAATTCACTGGCCAATGCATGCTGACTCTTGAGTCAATATGACATTCCATGATTTAAACAGAAAACAGTCTCTGGTGTGGTCATTGTTTCAATAAATCTCAGAAACTAATTATAAGTATTTAATATATTCCCCAAAACATTAGTCAACCAAAAAATGTATAATGATTGGAATATAATTCTCTGTCTCCCCCTAGTGGACAACGAAGCTATTAGTCAAGTGACAGAATTCAGCAGCAAGACAGCCTCTAAACTCAGCACTTATAATTAAATCTGTGTACTGTGAATAAATAATTTATTATAACTGTGTATGTTTCTGTACACAGATGATAAATTCCAGTATGTCTGCCTAAGAAAATATATACCCAAAGTCACATAAAGGTTGGTTGGTCGCACTTCGCAACATCGCTGCTTCAAATAACCTTTGAAGAAGTTTTATTTGGCATTGAAGCATATCATGCGTCTATAAAAACAACAGCTGTAAATCCTGAGACTCATGCCTTGGGAATATAACTTAGTTAGGCCGCACATCAAGATTTCTCAGTACAGTGATGTGTTTAAGGGTCTGTTTTCAAAGAATGGTAAACCATTAGTATTGGCATCCAGTGCCACAAATTCTGTCTGGTTTGGCTCTGCTTCCAAAGTTTAAACGCGGGACATTATGATGTTGAAATAAAGTATAAAAGTCATAAACAGTACACAGATTAGCACAAGTGATCAGTCTATTTGCCTTTAGTAAATCAACCCCAATGCCTTGGCAAAAAAGAAAGAACAAGAGCAAAGAAAAAAAGCTCTTTTTATTTTTAATATAAATCCAGAAATTGACATCTATAGGGGAGAATTACTAAAACTGATGCACACCGAATCTGGTGCAGCTCTGCTTAGAAACCAATCAGCTACTAGGTTTTATTGTCAAAGCTTTATTGAACAAGGTGAAGTTAGAAGATGATTGGCTACTAGCAGAGCTGCCCCAGATTCTGAGTGTTCCTGTTTTACTAAACCTCCCTCTATATCTTAGGGTTGCCACCTCATCCCCTTACACCCAAACACATATTAATTACACAGGTTCTGTGGCTGATTAAGGGGGTAATTAAAATCACTTAAGGTGGGAATACATGATTAGAAAATCGACCAATTGGTCATCCGAAGACCAAGAGGCGTTCATTCATTGGTCAGTATTTGGCCCACATTAACCAATCTAAAAAAAAATAGTTTGTCGGGCAATACTTAGTGTTGACATCTTCCATACAAGTGATGCAGTGTGCTGTGACCTTGTAGCCACTCCCTTCCGGCCAGGACAAGCAATATACACAACAATTAACAGTAATGAGTATAATATAGTTTATTACATTATCTATATACATAAATATTGATACATAAAAATATAATATGCAGAATTATGGTTTCATTATCTCATTAGGCCAATCTACTTTTAACATTTGGATTTTTCATCCGTGTTTATGAAGATTCCTTGGACATAAACATCCAGGTCTTCTGTTTCCGCTCATGCGAGATAGCGCTTGATATATTTATTTCATACGACCGTCATACCACCAAATAGAAAATCGGTCGTTCGTATGCGAAAACGACAATTTTTCACTGTTGTCCAACTGGATTTTTTCTTTCACAATATCGTTATCGGTTCGGTTAAAACATCCTGCTCATCGAGGAGAAAATCGTTCGATCAGTGTCTCCGCTAAATTTTTCGTACGATTTTCTTATCGTGTGTACGGGGCATTAGTCCCTTATCTGCATTAATTCAGCCTCAGTAATTAATATGTTCGGTTTTAAAGGGATGAGGTGGTAACCCTACTATATGTTCATATTACTTGGAAAGGACTTCACACAAAATAATACCCCCACTAATTAGACCCTTAAAGTAACAGACAGGGGGGCTTGTCCCCCGAGGGACAAGCCCCCCTGTCTGTTACTTTAAGGGTCTAATTAGTGGGGGTAATATTTTGTAAGGTCCATACCTTACAAAGATTGACAGGACCCTTGTCCCAGTTTTTTGCTGCTGTTGGGAGAACCAGAGAAGCAGCCAATGTGTAGAATGCAACCAGCAGAACAAAAACATGAATTTTATGGAAGATAGTCTTTTTTATAGTTCCAGCATCGGGAATAACTTCATATTACTGACACTATATACTGTATATGTGCAATAATGTGGAAGAACTGTAACCCCCTCTTTTTTTGCCAGGCTTCCATAAAACCTAAATGTGGCCGATTGGTTGGGTTCTCTTCAGGAGGAGAGAATCCTCATGGAGTTAAAGCTGTAACCAAAGGACAAAGATGTGCTGTAGCACTGTGGTTTACACTGGATCCCATGTACAGAGAAGTGGTAGGTCTCATGCAACCAAATCAAATGTACTTTTGTTGTTATAATACCATTTTTTGTATTCTAAAGCACTGGTGTAGATAAGAATACTAGAGAATCAGCTTTACCTTGGCTGCATTCACACTTGAGTGTTTTGTAGCTCGAAGCTCCAAAAATGCTCAAACTTAAAAAAATCTGTTGTTCGCTATGGTGCCTGTTCACGTGATCAGGTGTGAACAGGCACCACAAGAACAATTTGATTTTTTTTAAGTTTGAGCTTTTTGGGGGCTTCGAGCTACAAAACGTTCAAGTATGAATGCAGCCTTTGGGGTTTGATCATTATGGACAAACTCAGGGGCATCACCAATAGAAAGATGTATTGTAGTGATTTGGAAATTGTGCTACTGTAATTAATAGCCAAATACAGTATTTGGTTAATCCAAGCAAATCCTTATGTCATATAAAGCTGACTTTTGATTAGTTTCTTCCCTTTTAGTGTCACTGGGGTGTACCTTAGTAATAGCAGCATCTCCTATTAGGCTGATAAGCTGCATTTTCTGATGTACTGTCAGTATTTCAGTCAATATATTTTTTACTTTACATTCTTTATATAATGTATCTAATAATCAAAGCATGGTCCTTTTAGTCTGATTGATTACTGTGGAGCACCATCATTCTTAGTTTAGATGTTTTGATAAATAATGTTGTTTAAAGTACAACTATAGGTTCCTGTATGACAGTCTACACAAGTGCCAAATCCAGTTACTATGTGATGCACAAGTTTCATAAAGTAGACAAACCTTTCTTTACCTTCTCTGATTGATCCAAGTCCTCTTTCATTTGTGTCTCACATGACCCCCTTATCAGAAACTACAGCTCGCAATGGGAGGGTTCCAGCAACAGAGGCAGTGCTGTCAATCCAGAAAGCAGTGGGTAGAAGTAGGTGTGGCCTGGTTGGGATTCACAAGTTACAGGTTTATGAATCAGCAGTGGCAATGTGTAAGCAGGTACAGCCTTGTTGGCAACTCAGCTTTCAATTCAGGAGCAGTGCCATATTGTTGCCACACCATCACAGGAAGCTATATTAGGTGGACTTAAAAGAGAAGTATGGGTTTGCATGTTTCCCCCCGAATATACTTACCTAGGTGGATGCAACAGTCCAATGTGTGAGCGATCACATGGCCGCTCATCGCCGAGTTCTCACTGCCACTCAGCCACTGTCAGTCACTGCTGTCTGCTCTGTCCCCCCCCCCCCCCCCCCCCAATTCTCACTGGAGCGCTGGGCTGTGGAGGGGGAGGGAGCACCTGGCTCTTAGCAGATTGCTGAGAAGCTGAGCCAGGTACCACTCCAGACTCTGGGGGGATCCCAACTTTGAAGTCAGGATTTTTCCCCAGCCTTTACCGGCTGAGTGATGTCATTTGACAGTAGGCTTCAGCCCGCTGTCAGTTGAGAATGGGTCACAGGAGTGCAGAAGGAACAGGAGAAGTACAGCCAACTGGCAGGATCAATAGGTATTAGTGGGACTACAGGGGGACTAACAGAAAACTAAGTGCTGGTGTACTAATAATTAAGTGATGTGGCACATATCTTTTTTATTGGAGGCCATAGCTCTACGTTAAAGTGGTTGTAAAAGCTCAAGGTTTTTTTTACTCTCATGCATTCTATGCATGAAGGTAAAAATCCTTCAGTGTACAGCAATCCCTCAGTCCCCTCTTATTCTAACCCAAGCCAGATCTCGATCCAGCAATGTGCATGAGAGCTGTGGCTCTCTTGGGTCTCTCCCTCCTCATTGACTGAGACACTTGGCTCCCACTGCTATCAATCATAGCCAGTGAGGAGGGGAGGTGGAGGTGGGGCCAAGCTGCGCTTTGTGTGTCTTAGGGCCAGTTCACACCAGAAAAATGCATTCCGGATACGTTTTTGCTCACAGTTCACACCACACTCTGTGCCGGTGCAGTTTTGATGCAGTTTGCTATGTTCCAGTACAGTTCTCTGCAGAGAAAATGCAGCATGTTCTCTTTTTGTCTGCATCGGAAACTGGAACTGACTGCACTAGTGTGAACCAGGGCCATTGGAATACATGGAAAACACTGGGTATACATTTTTCATGCAGAAAAAAACGCACTGGACTGCATCTGGTGTGAACTAGCCCTTATAGACACACAGATGCGGCTCAGCAGTGAGCACACATAAGTGCCCCCAGAGCAAGCAGCTTGCTATGTGGGGCATTCAGCAGGGGAAAAAAAGCCAGTTCCGGTGTGGGGACCCAAGAAGAGGAGGATCAGGGCTGCTCTGTGCAAAACCATTACAGTATAACATGATTGTTATTTGAAAAAAAAAAAAGCTGAACCTTTAGTATCACTTTAGGTCTACATCATCACCTGTATTTTTATCGAGTCTAGCTATTGTAGTGTTCCATACGAACAATGTCATTTACACCAGTAATTCTCTGTTCTTTCAGGAGAGGCTGCAAGCAGATGAGGTCATACGGGCGCTAGATCAAGATGACTATACAAGAGGAAGAAGTGAGGAGCTGAATATCAATCCTAAGGATGAGCTATAACAAAGAATATTTAAATTAAAATATTTATTAATTATTAATATTCTTATTAGAACGATTTTATTTTTGTACAAAGCAAAAAATGTAATTTATATAATGGAGATGAATGAACTCCAACAAAGCTACTTCCCCTGAAACATTTTTTTAACTGTATTGTGTTCTGGAATTTACTACTGAGCATTGTACTGTATTGCTGTTGATCGAGTTTTTGTTAGTTGCCAGTATTACCCATCTGCTATATGTTAATGCTTACTCCATAAGAAGTTCCATTGTTCTTTCTTTTTTCTCTTCACACATATATAGTGCTACTGGAGGTACACGTGCAAGGAGCTAACCTGTCTAGGTTGTTCTCATACTCGTCAGAAGAATGAATTCTTTACTGTAAATGAGTCTGTCAGTATGTTTCAGCTGCTCGTTTATTTATTTACATATATGTATCATTTTCATTCAAGATTATATTTATTTTTTACAATAAGAAAAACATGTTATAATTCACCTGTAAAAGAAATAAAAAAATAAATCAGGGGAATGAAACAGCCTTGTATCTTGAGTGTTTTCATCTAATAAAATGTTTCCAACTTGTCTCTTTGCTGACAAATGCAGTCAATTACTACACACTTCTTAAAACAAAACTAATTTTTGTTGAGGAAAAACATTGTCCAGGTTATGTATACAGTATACATTTCAAAGAATCTAGCAAACTGATATGAGCTGCTCTGTAGTTGGAGTTGTCGCCCCTTCACCTTCCAGGGTGCTGGCTGGGGAATATGCCTGCTCCAGTCACTTGTTCAATTCCAATGTCCTAATGAGAGAGAACCTGCTGTGGAGCTAGGCCAGGTTCACACTAGTACAGCCTACGTTTGTGTGGACACGGCATCCTATTGATTTGAATGGGCTGCGTTGCCCCCATTTCACGCAAGGAGAAGGTGCATGTGTATGGTTGCCACCTCATCCCTTTAGAACTGAACCCATTAAGGTGGTAATCAAACTCACATAGTGCCTTATCTGCATTAAATTAGCCTCGACCCTGTGTAATTAACCACTTTACAACCACGCTATAGCCAAATGATGGCTACAGCGCGGTTGTCCAGTTCTGGGAGGATGTCATATGATGCCCTCCCAGAACATGCCCCTCATGCGCCCCCCTCAGCGGCATGCACCCAGGACTGTCAGTGATGGCCTGTGTCCTATGGACACAGATGATCATGTGACTAAGTAAAAGGCCAATCACAGGGGCCTTTTACCACGTGATCAACTGTGTCCAATGACACAGCAGATCACAAAGTAAATACAGTTGCCGGTTATTGGCAGAACTTTCCTCATGCTGTCACAAAGCAGATCTGCACTGATCATCAGCCCCCATCAGTGCTCAGCAGTGCCACCTCATCAGTGCAGCCTATCCATGTCACCTCATTAGTGCTACCTATCAGTGCCCATCAGTGCTGCCTCATCAATGGACATCAGTGAAGGAGATAAATTACATGTTTGCAAAATTTTTATAATAGAAACAAAGAATTTTTTTTTTTATTTTTTGTTTATAGTGCAAAAAATTAAAATTGCAGTGGCAATTAAATACCACCAAAAGAAAGCTCTATTACCAAAACAGGAGATGAAGAGTTATCTTCCAATGGGAACACCTGTTCCAGCGGCCACTGTTAAATGAAGGACTTCCCCTTATCTGAGGAGATTTCAACTCATTTACCATTGTACTTCCATGGCAGAAAAGGAAAGTGACCTGAATCTAAAAACAAAACAACAATCATCTTGCAGTTTACCAATTCACAGGTAATGTAGATTGCATTAGTTTTCACCTATTATTTTTTATATTTTCACAGACACAGGTGTACTGCAAAAGTGGCAGTTAGAGGGCTGAGACAAACCATTCAAAGAGGAACTAAAGTCACCATACTTACCTTCCCTACATTGGTCTGAAGTCTGTGAGGGGTCCCTTTCCCTGGCTCCTTCTGTGTGCTGATAAAGTACATACAGTATAAAATAATTAATAAATTAAACTTAGCTGCCTGTTTACAGCATCCCCAGGCATGTAAACTGAGCTGCGCATGCACAGCTCAACTTACAACGGCCAGCTCATTTCTTGTGTGAGTGATGTCATCCTGCACTAGCCAATGAAGCAGGCCGAAAACCGGCACACAGGAAAAGATATCGACGCTGGTGAGGGACAAGTAACTTAAAACTGCCTTTAGTTCCACTTTAACCACTTCAATACCGGGCACTTTTACCCCCTTCCTACCCAGGCCAATTTTCATGTATCAGCGCTCTCACACTTTGAATGACAATTGGCGGTCATGCAACACTGTACCCAAAACTAAACTTTTAGCATTTTTGTTCACACAACTAGAGCTTTCTTTTGGTGATATTTAATCACCACTGGGATTTTTATTTTTTTGCTAAATTAACAAGAAAAGTCTGAAAAAAAAAAAAAAACATGTTTTTCTTTGTTTCTGTTATAAAAGTTTGCAAATAAATAATTGTTCTTCATAAATTTAGGCCAAGATGTATTCTGCTACATTTCTTTGGTGAAAATACCCCAAATCAGTATTTATTATTTAGTCTGTAGGAAAGTTATAGAGATCACAAACTATGGGATATATCTGAAAATTGATCAATCCTGAAGTACTGACAGCCAATCTAATTTCTTGAGGTCCAAGAATGTCAGAACAGTACAGATATCCTCCAAATGACCCCTTTTTGCAAAGTAGACAGACCAGTGTATTTCATAAGAGGCAAGACGAGTTTTTTGAAGTTGTAATTTTTTTGTCATAATTTTTACCATAGTAACATTGTACTACTTTGGGGAAGTGATCAATATTTTTTTTTTACACAATTTGATTGCTTATAGAAAATTATTTCTTTGCTATAAGCAAGCATTTAACTGAAATAAATTGATTCATTCAGGTTTTTTTTGTGATTAGCTGTGATTGGCCACAGCTAATCACATGACACAGATGGGCTGTGATTGGCCCAGCCTGTGCATGTGATTTGTGACCATTCACAGCTAGACACACTTGTATATAATGAATGGCATGAAAGGAAGCCATCCATTGTATACAACTGTCATGTGACCTGGTGTGATTGGTCACAGCAGGTCACATGGTATTGGCAACGAGGCCGGTACACAGATCTGTCATCGGTCATGTCCTAAGGTACACGGCTGGTGACAGATCTTGCCACAGCACGGCCCTGCGGGCACATCATATGATGTCCTCCTGGAAGGACGAAGTGTTCGCCCGGCAATCATTTGCCAGGCGGCAAGTGATTAACACCGAGAGAGGTGCTTACAGCTTTCAGTTTGTATTCATTTATGTAAGACCTGGTCCACTCCAATGCAGTTTGCTTTTGATCCATTATGCAATGCTTTTTGTATTACATTTTTACACACACGTTTTAGCTGCATTTTTACCGCATTTTTTGCAACTTTTTTTTTATTTTTGGTAAAGGGGAAATATTTTTGTTGCTGGGCAGAATAAAAAATGCAAAAAAGCAAAATGTGGTAAAAAAAAAATTACATGCGTTTTAGCAGCATCTCCTTTGAACTCTATTGTAGCAAAAATGCTGCTTTTTGCATTTAAAAAAGTCCCTGACCCTTTTCAAAAATGCAGCAGCTGAAAACCGCATAGATGTGAACATGTCCAGTAGGAAACCATGTTAAATGGACTTTAGTGCATTTCTGCAAAAAAGCAATTAAAAACCGCAAAAACTTTTATCCCAAAAGGAAAAAAAAAACTGTTACTGCAACTGCTTTCATAGTGTTACCTGTAGTTCAGCTCCAATTTATTAATCAAGTCCATCTAAATCTGCTAATCTTTCTAATACTACCCTCTCCCCAGACTGACAATGCTGCTGTCCAATGGCTCCCTGTTGCTCCTCCTTTCAGATTGGAGACACCTTAAGACAGGGGTCCTCAAACTTTTTAAACGGGGCCAGTTCACTGTCCCTCAGACCGTTGGAGGGCCGGACTATAGTTTTTAAAAAAAAAAAACTGTGGTCATCTTCTGTACTGTGTCCGCATTTGTTCAAAGACTGTGGACATACAACGGCGGCGGGAATACTGGGCTGGCCGCTCTATAAGACGCACAGACATTTCCCCCCAAGTGTGTCTTATGGAGCGAAATAGTGTCCCATCATTGGTGTCAGTGGGAGGAATAGTGCCCCATCATTGGTGTCAGTGGGAGGAATAGTGCCCCATCATTGGTGTCAGTGGGAGGAATAGTGCCCCATCATTGGTATCAGTGGGAGGAATAGTGCCCCATCATTGGTGTCAGTGGGAAGAATAGTACCCCATCATTGGTGTCAGTGGGAAGAATAGTACCCCATCATTGGTGTCAGTGGGAGGAATAGTGCCCCATCATTGGTGTCAGTGGGAGGAATAGTGCCCCATCATTGGTGTCAGTGGGAGGAATAGTGCCCCATCATTGGTGTCAGTGGGAGGAATAGTGCCCCATCATTGGTGTCAGTGGGAGGAATAGTGCCCCATCATTGGTGTCAGTGGAGGAATAGTGTCCCATCATTGGTGTCAGTGGGAAGAATCGTGCCCCATCATTGGTGTCAGTGGGAGGAATAGTGCCCCATCATTGGTGTCAGTGGGAGGAATAGTGCTCCATCATTGGTGTCAGTGGGAAGAATCGTGCCCCATCATTGGTGTCAGTGGAAGGAATAGTGCTCCATCATTGGTGTCAGTGGGAAGAATCGTGCCCCATCATTGGTGTCAGTGGGAGGAATAGCGCCTCATCATTGGTGTCAGTGTGAGGAATAGCGCCCCATCATTGGTGTCAGTGTGAGGAATAGTGTCCCATCATTGGTGTCAGTGGGAGGAATAGTGTCCCATCATTGGTGTCAGTGGGAGGAATAGTATGTCATTGGTGCCAGTGGGGGGGGGTGGAATAGTGCCCCATCGTTGGTGTCAGTGGGGGAGGAATAGTGCCCCATCATTGGTGTCAGTGGGGGGAGGAATAGTGCCCCATCGTTGGTGTCAGTGGGCGGGG